TAATTAACTGTCCACTTTCTTCCCCAAATATTGCTGCAGATGTGCCACTCTGAGATAATGTCAGTCTGTAGGATGGGAGTAATTTGAGAAATACCAGGAACTCCCGAGATTGTCAGAGCTAAGTGGACAGCAATTCAGTTTCCAGACTCAGGTCAACAAGTTTGATGGCTCTGCAGGTTTCTTTGTTCCTCCCCCCACCCTTTTCCTCCAGCCTCTTTTTAAAGTCCTCCCTTCAGTCTCTGGGACCCAGTCTCCAAATTGGCTCCCGGAGACTGGTCGCCAGGCCTGGAAATAAAGCCTTTGCCACCTAAATTTTTGGTCTCTTGCTTCCTTGGATTTTATACCGGGGCCTGAGTTATAACATTTGGGGGCTCGCCCTGGATGGAAGCAAGACCCCAGACTCATTTCTGAACATTTGAAAGTAAGTGCTCTGGAGGATTTGTTTGGGCCGCGGTCAATTTGTAATTTTGAGGGGACGCCCTCAATTTGGGAGCGGGAACCACCCGAGGACAGAGTCAGTTGGTTTGTCAGACAAATTCTGTCTGTTTGTGACTCTGCCCCAGGTGGGGAACCGCTCCGCTTGGAAGGGGACGCCCTTAATTTGGGGAGTGAAACCTCCCGAGGACAGAGTCAATTGGTTTTTGTCATTTGTGACTCTGCCCTGGGTGGGGAACCACTCGGTTAGTTAAATTTGTTAATTCCTCCAGGTCCCAAAATTTGACTAATTTTTGAGCAAAGGCCATTTTGCTGCAGCTTGTCTTGCCTTGTCTTGTAAGTCTGTTTGTGTGTCCATTTGTTCTAATTGTTCTCCTTTTGGTTACCCCAAAGCTAACAGAACATTCTCTCCTAGAAACCCCTTCTACGCGAGCCAAGAACGGACTAAGGGATTTAGATACATATGTTCAGAGTTTTTGTACTTTTGAATTATTTGCCTGTTTAAATTTGTTACTAACTTAGGGTCTTGTTGCCCATTTCTGTTGCAGGATCCATATGGCTTATTAGATTCAAGGTTCATAATAAGAAAAATTATTTCCTTGAGCTTACCAAACTGTGCAAGAAACACCCTTTGTTTGTGTCTTTAATGTTGTGGTGCCTTGTTTAATATGTAAGTCTTCAATTGATTGCTTGCAACCTCGGCATGCGTTTTAAAAGGAGTATTTTTCTTTCTGGTTAAAATGTAAACATATGTGCACATATATGTGTATATTTATGGTTTTTAAGAATCATATCAACTTTACCAAGTGAAAACCAGGTCATACTGTAATTGAGCCAGTTAAAGGTTATAGTTTTTTTTTTTTTAAAAAACCAGCACTTTAATGTGATAAAAAGACATAAAATAAATATGTTTTAGACTACTAGAAGGTGACTTCAAGGGTTTTGTTGAAAGTTATAATGTTGTCTGAGAAGTGAGAGAAAAGGTAATTGACTGGTAATAGTAAAAAGGAGGGACAAAGAAAGTGGTTTGTCTTCAAGTAAAAATGTCTGCTGTGCCAGAATGTGAAAGAAGATAAAACTTGGAGGTATATTATAAGTTATAGAAAGCTCGAGATAATGTGAATTTTATTTGTCTTGATGTTATAGTACTGAAAACAGCAGGTTTGACAAGAAGTAAATGTGTTCAAAATTTGACAGTATTAGATCAGTTTTGGTAGATTTATTTATAAGATTCTAAACCTTTGCTGCAAAGTGTTTCCATTAATATGAGATTATAGATGATAATAGAGATAAGATATAAGTTCTTGCATGTGCTGTGGACATCTGGGAGATTATATGGCACAATTTTGTTACCTATGAAAAAGCCTCTTTTTGTTAAGTATGTAATTTCAGTAAAATGATGGCCTGCCATGTGGCACCCTAGAACAAAAGGTGGTGTGCCATCCAGAAAAAGCCTGCTCTCTGATCTGGAATGCCAAAACCATGTTTTCCCTTTGTCCCACCCCGATTGGACATCCAGAGGTAAGGAGGTTTCCCTAGTATCGCCAATTGTTGTCTTTGCAACTCAGTCGGCCCCACATGTTGCAAGAATCTCACCTAATTGATATGTTAACCATTGTTGCCCTCTACAAACTACAGAAGTTGTGCTAAAACAAGCTAACAAGGGTTGTTAATCACTATTAGGTGCCTCTATTCTCTGCTAAAGAGCTAAAGAAAACTAGGATGGCCCACTAATTTACAGTTGTTTAAAGTAACCTGCTTGTGCGCAGAGAGATTTGCATATGAGTTTAACCCTTTACCTGACCTTGACACATTACCGCCGTTTTCTGTTCTGTATGGCGCCTTATTGCCTCCCTCTCCCCTCACCTATCTATCTAGGCCATAAAAAATTTGTGTTTCTGGTGACCTCTTCCCGACCCGGTGATGATCTGTCATAAAATGAGCCTGCCCCAAATTTTAAGAACTGTTTAGCTTCAAAGAAATTACCGGGAAATACTATGGCCCAAACCCCAATCAGTGCTTTTCTTTTGTTCTGTATGCATTAAATGAGTTAGATATCAGATCTTTGTAAAACTTAAGTTTCAGCTTCTTGTAACTCTTGACCCCTTCGCACCCACTAGCGAAAACGAGCTGTCCTGGGATAATTAACTGTCCACTTTCTTCTCCAAATATTGCTGCAGATGTGCCACTCCGAGATAATGTCAGTCTGTAGAATGGGAGTAATTTGAGAAACACCAGGAACTCCCGAGATTGTCAGAGCTAAGTGGACAGCAATACAGTTTCCAGACTCGGGTCAACAAGTTTGATGGCTCTGCAGGTTTCTTTGTTCCTCCCCCCACCCTTTTCCTCCAGCCTCTTTTTAAAGTCCTCCCTTCAGTCTCTGGGACACAGTCTCCAAATTGGCTCCCGGAGACTGGTCGCCAGGCCTGGAAATAAAGCCTTTGCCACCTAAATTTTTGGTCTCTTGCTTCCTTGGATTTTATACCGGGGCCTGAGTTATAACAGATATAAAGAAGACATGACAAAATTCATTGTAATGATGAAAAAATTCTTAACATAAACTATAAAAAGCTCTTAAAAATCCAGAAAGGAAAAACACCCCTAAATATTCCTGTCCAGAAATGAGCAAAGGATATAAAAAAGTAACGCAGGAGAAAACACAGACTCATCAACATGAAATCACTTAATTTCAATAAAACACTGATGGTAAATCTAGGGTGTGTGTGTTACTGTTTTTTAAAACAAAAGATACTAATGTACAATTGTTTGTTGTAAACAAAACCTCAGCATTCAGGTTTAATTGCAGTGAAGGCACTTTGAAAGAAATGAGTTGATTTTGGGTTGCAGTTTGGTATCTGGTCTTGAAAATGTTCCCCATTACTGTAATAAAAAAAATCCAGTACAAAATTATGTGTCATTTAAACCTATTGTATTAGAAAAGGTATTTTTAAAAAGATTTCTGAGTTAGTAATTTTCCCTTGCAAAATTTATTTAAAGGAAATAATGAGATCAAAAGCATATGTGCAAGTAGATCATTACATATTTGTTGATTCATTACATATTATATAATAAAAATTTATAGAAATATTTTAATACTAAATTTATTGAGATGTTGTGAGATTAATACAAGTTACCTTTGGCTGCAGAAGCCAATTACAAGGTGTGCTTAAAGTGCTGGCCATTAGCTTCCAGATATTCATTAGTGCGGAGAACTGCTGCTTGAGTTACCTTGGTTGTTGAGATGGCCTCGCAAGCATTTTCAGTTTTTTCTCTAAGGGCCACCAGTGTACTGGGTTTTCTGAAATCCATGACAGTCTCAAGGGTCCACCACATGAGGGTACACCATCTGCTGAAAAAAAAATCTACTATTTTTCTTTCCTGAAATATGTATACATTTTTTGGGAGACTGTTGCTTGGTAACATTTTGGGGATCCAAGCACCAAAAATGACCTTCGAAGATACATTCCATAATGGATCCAATCTCTAAATTGAGATGGAATTATTTGATATGAGATTTGGTTACCAAGACTTTTATTTATTTTTAGAGGTTTTAAAAATTATTATATGTTTGCAGTTCATGCAGCTTACAGTCATCTTTGGTAGTGGTTACACATATGTACCACAGCCTGTAGTTTTTTTATCCCCTTTGCTACCCTCCCTGCCCCTCCCACCTCCTTCAATGCTGTTTTCCATTCTTGTTGATAGTATTAAACTCATGTCGTAGCATATAATGTTTACATTAATTGAGGTTATTTGGTTCTCGCACATGGCAATCTTGATTCTACTGATTTTCTCTTAACCTCCTCCTCACCTTTTATGTTTTTCCCCCTTGGACCACTTTCCTGTTATGAAGAGGTCCATCTCCTTGTCCCCTCCTGGCCATCTTTTATTATTGTCTTTGTACTCTCTTTCAAATGAGATACCATATGGTATTTAAGCTTGTGTATCTGATTTATTTTACTCAAAATTATATTTTTCAGGTGCATTTATGTTTCTACAATGTCTCAGGTCTGTCACTTTTATAGTACAGTAATATTCCATAATACACAGATACCAGTTTCTTTATCCTATCATCAGTTGATAGGTATATAGGTTAGTTCTGGGAGTTAGCTAGTAGAAGTGACCAAGATAATTATCTAAATAAACCTTAACACTAATTTTGCAGTTGAAAAAATCCTAACGCTGTGATTAAACATACATCTGAATCTCAACCGCGCAAAGTGAAAGTGCAATTAGCAAACCTTATGGAAGTATTTTGTTGTATTTTGTGTATTCATCCCACCCAACAATTTCAAAAGTTTCTGGGTCAGCACACGGTTATCAATGAGGACTGGAGTTAAAACTATGCACCGAAGAAGCCTCACAAACCTCGTCAACGGTTCAGAAAGGCCCTCAGCACGCCATTTTAAGAACCGACTCCCACACAACACAAACTAAGAGAAAACGCTGAGATTCCTTCTAGATCTCCAGCCAATGGTTGCGCTTCTGCTCACCCTAGCAACTCCTGGCCAATGGTCGGAGCTCTATCTTTTGCGCCGCTACCGTTCCTTTTTAGCCAATCAGAAACGTTCTTTAAACGCCTTGCGGCACCCAGCATGGGACAACTGCTTCACTTCCCGGCTCCAGTCCCGGGTGGCTACGGCCGTTGCCATAGCGACCATTTTACGTTAACTGGTTTGTAGTTTTATCCCGGTGGCTGCGCGGCACCGGGGGACTCTTCCCCGCTCCTCCTTGGCTCTTGGCGTCCGAGACGTTTCGGCGAGCCCCGGGAATCTGGCCTGGGGATCTGCGTAGCTGCGTGGGGGCGGATGGCTGCCGAGGAGGACGAGGTGGAATGGGTGGTGGAGAGCATCGCGGGCTTCCTCCGGGGTCCTGACTGGTACATCCCCATCTTGGACTTCGTGGAGCAGAAATGTGAAGGTACAAGCTAGAGTCCAAACCAGTTCCCTCTGCCTGCCTCACGCCGGCATCTGTAGGGGGACGTCCCTGGAAACCGCGTCTTAGCTCCGGCCTCCGTCCCTTGGGCCGGGTTAGAGCCGCTCGCGCAGGTGGATGGCGTTCGCTCCGCGGGTGGCACGTTACAAATCTGAAATTGGGACGGTCGAAGCTCCCAGCCTCCCGACCCCGGCTCCAGGGGCCAAACATTTTAGCCTTTCGTCCCATATTCGTTCTTTCACGCTATGCAGCACATTTCTGCCCTCGGCAAGTGGACTGTTTTCGTTGGGCCTTTTCAGCAGCTTCCCTAGTCGTTTGAGAGGAGAAGCGTCAGTTTGCCTCCGCGTTCCTTCTTGGTATGTCACCCTGTGCAGTCCCCCTAGGGAATGAAAAATTCCCCCCTGGCGACATTGACATCCAGAAGATGTGTTCCTGCATGCAGCAGGACCGAGGCTGGCAGTCTCGGTGGCCTGTATGCCCCTTGTGTGCTCTCTCAGCTGTCCCATTAATTGGAGGGGCATGGGTGGGTTTTCTTCTAACTGATGAGGCTTTCCCATGTGCTCTAACAGACACTTTGTGGGAAGACGCCTCAGCTTTCTGATCAGTTCACGCTTGGGAGTTCTGAATTTAGTTCTTGCAGACCAATTGGACTCATTCACAGAGAGGGAACCAGAAACTGTCGTACAAACCAGTGTCCAGTCATTATCTAGTTTATCTGGGCAGTAATATCCCCAATCGTTTGAATGTCGGTCTTACGCTGGAGGGGTTAGATTTGCTTGTAAGGATCAGTGGGAGCTGCAGTCCGTGGGTACAAGCGGAAGGGAAACGAATTTTCGTGCAGGACCTGCATCATAACGGAACGTAAGCAGGGTGAGTTTGGCCTGCCCAAGGGTTAGATCTGCAGTGACTTACTTGAGATAGTAGAGGAGATTCAGTTACTAAAAAGATTTATCCTTAAAAAATTATCCTAGCTAATCTTTTAAGATTTCTTTCAACCGTAAGATTCCATGAATTCAATAAAGGTGAAATTTAATGCGACCACTGAAATTTCTTTTGAAATGAAGGGTGGGAATCACCTTACTTTTTTTTTTTTTTTTGTCTTTTTTCCTTTTTATCGGTACCGGGGATCGAACTCACGACTGCCTGCTTGCAAGGCAGGCACTTATGCCTGCTGAGCTAAATCCCCAGCCCCAAATCTCCTTACTTTTTAAGGGAATCTCCTAATCCTCCCACTTCGGCTTCCCTAGTACCTGGGATTATAGGCATAAAACAACCTTGCTTGAATGTTTATTAGATTCTCATTATAAAATACTAGCTACTAAATGTTTTTTCAGGTAATTTTAAAGGAGATTAAAAAACAGAATTTTTAAAATTTGTATTCCTTTAAAGATTTAAAATGCTACGTTGAGACTAATAACACATGCAGAATTCTGACCTCTTTTATTATGTTCTATTTATTTATTTAAAAGTAGGAAAATTCTTTGGACAAAAGGAATAGGGAATAGGAGTAGTTCCTGAGAGACAGGAGGGACCCTGTCTGACCTCTTTTAAAAGAAATTTTGTCACTTATTGATGTCATGTTCCTGGCTGAGACTAAATGCTGAAATAGAAAAAAGTAAATAAAAAAATAAAGCTCACCTTTTTTATTCCCAAAAGCCAAAAGTGACGGCCGTCAGAACTTACATACCTCACTGTGTAATTTTGTAGAGAAGCAAATTCTCAGCTGTGTGTACATGTACTGCAGTATTTTAATGTCAGAGCTACTGAAAACTGCTTAAAGTAGCTATTGTATTGAATGATTGTGAAGTGTTACGTGTAACAGATACAGGATTACAGGAAGTAAAATGCAAGTGACACTTCAGATAACTGCACTTCACAGACTTGGGGTTATCCGTGCACTATACTTGCTTTAGGTAATTTAAATATTAATTTTGTACCACTTTGTCACATCAGCATTTGCTTCAACAATTATTGAGTGTCTTTGGATCAGAAGCAGGAGATGGAAAGACGAAATAACAAAATCCTGTGCTTAAGAAATTTATAGGTAATACATGCAGGTAAACAGGATAAAAACCAACATATCAGATGCTATAATAATGGTAAGCACGGAATGTTGTGTGTTGTGAGCTAAGAGGCAGGAATCTAGCCAGCCTAGAGCGGGTTATGGAGAATGTGACACTTGGCAGCATCGGAAGAGTTGTGGGATGAAGTAGAGGCAAAAAGCTAAGGAAAGGCTTGAGTGAGGACGAGGGGTTTGAACCTTCGCTTTGGAGATACTCCAAATGGTTGTGTATTGCTAGGATGGCAAAATTCGGATTTTGGAATGGTGGGGGATGAAAGTTGGGATCTAATCTTGCAGAATCTTGTTTGGTCTAAGGATTTTGTACTGATTCTCTAAACAAAGCACTTGTTCAGTTTTAAACTGAAAGTTATAGAAGTTAGCTTTGTATTTTAGGAAGATTGTTCTGGGAGAATGAAACATGTTTCTGGTTTATAATTTGTGAATATGTTGTTCCTATTAGACTCTATCCCTCCCTCTCCTGGTACTGGAGATTGAACACCAGGACTTCGGGATTAAGCTATGTCCCAGTGCTTTGCAGTTTTACTTTTTATTTGGAGACAGGGCTGCCTTCGAGCATTGTGATCCTCATGCTTGAATCTCCCAGAGTGCTGTAACTGCAGACATATGCTACTACTACTATGTCAGAAGATTGTAGCTTCTTGAGGGAATGTATGTTTTTTTTTAGGGGATTGAAACCTATACTTATTTGTATATTGATCTGTGGTAACAAAAATGACCTGATCACTTTCAGTAAAATTTGCATTAATGAAGTTCCAGTACAATAAAATAATCTAGGGACTGTTGTAAAAGGGTTTAACATTTAATATTAATTCATTAAAAGTTTATGAAGAAATTATTGCCTTATATTATTGATTAAAAAGTGACAAATTGCTTTGTTTTAAATATAAGGTAGTTTGGTTTTGAATTTTTTTCTTTTCTTTCCTTTTTGTCATTTTGAGACAGGGTCTCACTTTGCTGTTCAGAATGGCCTTGGGCTCACTTTGTAGCCCAGGCTGGTCTCAAACTTGCAAGGATCCTCCTGCCTCAGCCTCTTGAGTGCTGAGATTATAGGAGTGTGCCAGCACACCTGGTTATTTTCTTGAAGAGAAGAAAAAAACTTATTTACAATCAATTTATATATTTTATATGCATTTATATGTATTCATATATTTTTTTTTAAAAGAAAAAACTACAAGAATTCAAAACTGAAGAGGTAGGTACTCAGAATGATAGTTCTTTTTGTAAACAGTAGGTTTTTGTGTTAATGAAATGATTAGTTTTTTTTAACTGTAATATTTTTCTTGTAAATTTAGTTTTTGATGATGAAGAAGAAAGCAAATTGACATATACAGAGATTCATCAGGAATATAAAGAACTAGTGAGTATTTTTAAACTGATTTTTAAAAAGGTAATTGGGATATTAACTGTTGCTTGTCTAAATTTAAAAATGGCTTTTATTTCATAAAATTCTTTAATTTTAGAAATATGCAGGCAACTTTAATATTACTACTAATTTATCAGACTCCAAGAATTCTCTGAAGCATCTTATTTTATGTATTTTGTATCCCTTCTACCCTAGAATCTAAGGAATGGTTTGACATAATTGTATCTGATTTTTAAGTTTTATTCTTAGCTGTCTGATGCCTGCAGAGAATGGTTAGTTTTTTTCTGTATTATGGCTGGCTTTAGAGTTGTGCCACACTGAATTTCATAATCCTGACTTATATCTAGTATATGAAAGAAAATTTCATGTGATTACCTGTAAAACAATCAATCAACCAAACAAAATATCCTTCTTGTTTATTTTTGGTGGAGATAGTATTACTTGTATATATTATAATATTATGTAGATTAACATTGGCAAGAATACACTTGATTTACTTTTCTGAATCAATATTAATAGGAAAACTATTATTTAGAATTTTTCTATGGAAATTATCAAAATACAACTTTTTCTTTTTAGGTTGAAAAGCTGTTAGAAGGTTACCTCAAAGAAATAGGAATTAATGAAGATCAGTTTCAGGAAGCGTGCACTTCTCCTCTTGCAAAGATTCGAACATCACAGGTTTTTGTTTTTGTGTTATTTTATGTAGTTATAACAAAAATTCCTAGGGTTTCACTTAAATTCAGAATGTTTGTGAAAATACAATATTTTAGATACTGTGAGAAGTAAAAAAATAATTCATTATATACAGGTTCTTTTTACAACAGCTTCGACATGATAATTTGAGGCATTAGTAAACCAATGCAATTAAAATGAACTTTCAGAGCTTTAATAAGATTGTAGGGTTTATTAAAATTACTTGTTTTATTTATTAGCTCTCTGATAATTCTGTAGCTGGCTTTAGTTGAGGCACAGTTTCTAGTTCTTGGGACTTTTTTCTTGAAACTGTTTTTATTGTCTCATTAGTTTTTCAGTAATGGAGAAGAGGATAGCATGTATATTTGTAACTGATGTTTTGGAGAGCTTATGCTGCTTGATATTGCATACCCTGGCATGTATTATCTTATGTAATCATTATGGGACCTCCTAAGAAACGGGCACTGCTTATCTTCCAGCTATAAATGAGGAAAGTAAAGCACAGAGATACTGATGTAGCAGCACCAATCCAACCAATGTAGGAAACCTGAGAGCCCTGCTCAGAAGTTGAAGACGGGAATGTATTGCTGCTTCCAAAGTGCTACTCTTTAAAAAAAACTTGCTTGGCTCCTATCCTCTACCAACTAAACTGTACTTCCTTAGCAAGATGAGGATTGTGATATGTAATCCCAAATTCTATTTTCAGCCTTGATTTCCTGCTACAGTTCAATACTTAGGAGCTGCCATTATGCTAAGCCACTCTTTTTTTTCCTCTTTGTTTTTTTGAGACAGGGTTTCACTATGCAGGTCAGGCTGGTCTTTAACTCACGTTGTAGCCCAGGCTGGCCTCAAACTTGCAGTGATGCTCTTTCCTCAGTCTCTCGAGTGCTGGGATTACGGGGTGTGCCACCATGCTCACCTGGGCCACTCGTTCGTACGAGCATCTGTGTGTTGGGCTTTGCTTATGCTATGCTTTAACCTAGAATAGTGGTGGCCAACCGATGGCACGTGTGCTACAGCAGTCTGTATCACTGAAAACTCTAAAAGTTCAGCATCACTGACAGAACGTACGGTCTCCTCATTTCCCCTCCCTTCCTTAACTCAGACAGTTCTTACTCCTCTGGGCTTGGCTGAAATGCTGCTTCTTAAGGCAGTTTTGCACTCTCTCTAGACAGACTGCAACTCATTGTACATTACAAGGAACTTTTACCTAGAAAAGTTTGGTACTCTGCGCCTTGAATTATTTGCCCCATTAGACTCTTAAGTATTTTGAGCTATTTTTGGTATCTTTCATTACTAGTTCCTACTTTAGAGATAAGAGCTTAGTTTCTAAAAGGTAATTCACAATGAGTGTTTGTTAACTGGCCTCAAAGAGGTCACTTTGACTACTGTTTAATGCAGCCCCTTCCTCATACTGTTTTCTTTTGCACAGCTTTCTTCTCATTTGATGACCATCTCTAAAATTAAAATTTAATGTTATTGAGGTATCCAACTAATGTAAACTCTTTAATAGTTAATAACTATATAATGGAAATATTTCACAATTCACCACTAGCTTTTATTAGCCTTAAGAAATAATTACAGATAATTCTCTTCTTTTTAGTGGAGTGGGAATAATTTGATTGAAAATTACAGATGATCCTCAGTATGAATTTATGTCCTGATGAGCCCATCATATTTGTCTTGGTTACTTTTTTCTTGTTGCTGAGACAAACTACCTGACACCCCAAGTTAAAAGAGGAAAGGTTTATTTAGTTCATGGTTTGTGGAGGTTTCAGTCTGGCGCCACGGCAGGGTACTATGGCCTAGGGGCAGGAGTTCAGGGTGGCAGAAGACAGCAAAACAACAAGAAAAAAGCGGGGAGAAGCAAGCTTGTCTTTCTCTCATGTTATAAGCAAGTTACCCCCACCCCAGTGGGTGTAGTACTGACACGTCTCTGTGCCCTCCTCTTGCACAGGATGAGGATGTTTACAAGGTAAGGACCCTGGCCCTCTGCTAAGTTGCTTGTTAAACTTCTAAACTTCTCAAATTGACAAAATGTATCAACCAATATTGAAAGTCAGAAATGCATTTTATGATCTAACCTGCCAAACATCCCACTTTAACAGCATAGATGCAGTAGAGTATTGGTTATTTCCCCTGTGACTGCGGTAGACTTGGAGCTGTGGCTTGGTGCTGCTCAGTATCAAGAGACATTATGGTAATATATATTGGTGGCCTGTGAAAAGATCAAAATTCAAAAGTCAAACTGTGGTTTCTAGTTCATGTGTTTTGCTTTTGTCCTATGGGAAAGTGGAAAAACCATAATCTGTAATAATATATACTCCCACTCATCTTTTGTTTGCATTATCAGGACTCTAAATGATTTGTTAGTGTAGATGTTCATAGCTTTAAAATACTGTTTTCAGGTCAAGAGCCACACACTCCTGCACACATTCTTTCATTTTACCAGGCACATTTTGATTTGCTTAGAGTAGATTGGTGGTACATCTTGTTACATAGAAGGAAGCAAACGTTTTGAGACGGACTTAGTTTGGTTCTTTTGTTTTCTAGCTGTAAGATGTTGAGTGAAAGGTTTTATTTTAGTTTTACCTTCTTAATCTTTTGTTTTTCAGTTTTCACATTTATGTGTAGGGAAGTACCTACTTTTGAAGGTTTTTTTGTAAAGGTTAAGGCATGTCAGAAACTGTTGTTATGGCAAGGCCTCATGTGGTCATGGGGAGGCATTTTCAGAGGTGGCTTGATCTCGAGTAACACCAGAATTGAGATTCTAATTGAATAGGGTCAAGGGCACTAGGATTAAGGGTGTGTGTGCTGCCTGCCCTAAATAGCTGGATAAAATATGAGGGTTAGACAGAGCTGTGAGTGTCCCCATTATTGCTTTGCTGCCATGCACTGTTTCTCCTCTGCCACATCAGGCTGGTTTTGTGGCTGTATCACACCACCCAGCTGGCTACGGACAGAAACTTCTACCAAATGTGAGTGAAGTAAACCTTTTCACCTTTGCTTTTGCTGTCATGTATTTTGTATCAGCAACAAGAAAAGTGACTGTGACAACCATTGAGCGTAATACATGTGTTAGTCAGGTAGTCTATAAATAAATCACACACTTTGTTGTTTGGTTAGCACTGTGGTGGCCAGGTGATCTTGGGTTCACTTTCCTTGAGGAGTAGTTAGTTAGCGAGCAGTATGGTTTGCCTAGAGTAAACTCTTAGTCACCAAGGACAGAAACCACCATTAAATCATTATTACTGAAAACAGTTTGAACCAGTGTTTACTGCCTTGCAGTTATCTAAACTTTATCATGAACACCAGAATGCTGATTTCATTATGCCAACACAAGAATCCTAAGAATCAACTCAAGAAACAAATTGCTTACCCTAAGTAATTTAGGAAGTAATTTTTGTTTTGTCTTGTTTAATTGGTTTGGTTTTGATATTCTAAACCAACTGTCAGCTCCTATTAAATTGTACTGTTAAACAGACTTGTAAAAGTCTTTTCAGCTTATTTAATCCGTAGACCTACACTAGTGGTGGCACACGTTTTGGCATGCATAGCACAGGGGACTGTCTGTACCACTGAAAGCTCTGAGAGGTTTGCCATCACTGACTTAGATTATTGGTCCTGGCATATTCTTTGTGTATTTAAGCCAGCAAGAGTGGCAGGGAGTGCATCTGATGAAATGTTTCTATTAAAAAGTAACATTAACAAAAAAAGTTCCACTGTTTTTTTTTTGGAGACAGGGTCTCACTATGTAGTTCAGGCTGGCCAGGCTGGTTTCAAACTTGCAAGGATCCTCCTGCCTCAGACTCCTGAGGCTGGGATTACAGGAGAGGATCATCGTGCCCAGCCCTAAAAATACACTTTTCTTAATTTCTTTCTCTTTTTTTATACCAGGGATCGAACTCACGACCTTAAGCTTGCCAGGCAGGCACTTGTACCACTGAGCCAAATCCCTGGCCCTCTTCCTGGTTTTTAACAGTATATTTTTCTGTGTTTATCTGTGAATTCTAAAAAGAAGTCCATGAATTAAAATACTTATCTACCATCTTAGAAAAATATAAATAGTGAGATATTATTTTATTTTATATATTTATTTTTGGTATCAGAAATTGAACTCAGGACGTCATGCTTGCCAGGCAGGCACTGTACTGATGAGCTATATCAGATCCAAACTTAGTTGAACTTAAGAATTTTGTAGAATTTTCTATTGTTATAAGTAAAAATAGCTTCTACATGCTTATGAATTTTTGGTGAGAATGAAGCTTATTATTAATTCAATGTATGGGAAAAGCCAGGGACTTCTATATGAAAGAAACACAAGCTGTGTTTGTATTTTATTTGCTTTGACGTTTATGAAACCTACACTTGCAGAAACACTTATTTTGTAGTAATAGTTCAAAAAATTGTGTCTTTTTATTCAGTAACTGAAGTGTTGAAAAGATCATATATATGTGTTACCCTTTATTTTCTAAAAATCTATACAGGGTAATAGGCATATTTTCTGTGAGTGCTAGTTATGATTTAAAAAATTAATAGACTTTATATTTTAGAACAATTTTAGATTTACAAAAAATTAAGCAGATAGTTTCCTTTAGTAAAATTTTGAGTTAAAATAGTATATTTGGTACACTTGATGAATCAATATTGATGATATGTTGTAAAATTCTTTGAATTTTGCCAAATATTTGCCATCATTGCCACTAAACATATTTTTACTACCTGAAAAGCTCCTGGACTCCACATATGCATTTTTTCTGACCTTGTCCCAGTTCTTTGGCAACCAGTGTTCCTTTAACTGTTCTATAGTTTTGTTTTTCCACAATGTTATTAATTGGAAACATACAGCATATAGTCTTTCCACATTGGCTTCTTGTACTAATCAGTATGCATCTATCTTTCCTTTGTGTCTTGGTTTGATAACTTTTTATCACCCGGATTGTATAGATGTACAGTAGCTTGATTATCTAGAGAATTATGACTAGAGCTATTATAAAATATTTGTGCAGGCTTTCCTCTGAACACAGAAGTTTTCAAGTTGTGCAGGGCTTGGTTGTGCTCATCTGTAATTCCAGCAGTCCAGGTGGCTGAGGGATCAGGATCCGAAGTGTGAGCACAGTCTGGCGACTTAGCAACATAGCTAGACCCTGTCTAAAAAAACCCCCACCAACCCAGCAGATGAAAGAAACAATTTTTAGCTCATGTGGATAAGCATGTACAAGTGTATTGCTAGATCATATGGTAAGACAAAGTTTGTAAGAATATGCCAAATTGTCTTTTAAAATTTATCACTTTTAGCTTGCTTTCTGCAAGGCCTGGGCGTTCGGTTTTATCACATCCTTTTCAATGCTTGATACCCTCAGGTTTTTGGATTTTAGCCATCCTGATAGGTGTATAGTGGTATTTTGATTATTTTTTTAATTGAGTTATTCTCTAGTTGTTGAATTTCAAGATTGTTTGCATAGGTATTTTACAAAAGGCTGATCATAAAATACAATGCATGTTTAAATATAAAACATTATTACAGTAAAAGACACTGCGATTAATTCCCCTCAGAATACTTTCTCTTGCTTCAAAACACTGTCTTGTTACTTTTTGTCACTGAAAAAATATGACTTAACAGTCACATTTACAGGAGGAAGTTTATTTTGTCTCATGTTTTGTAGCGGGTTCATGGTGCATAGTCAGCTGGCAAGAGGGGCAGAGGAGAAACCGATCTTAGCCCCGCAGTGGGAAGCAGAGCGACCGAGGGGCGGGAGGGAGCCCTGCCCAGGCCGTGCCCCCACCCCGCTTCTCTTCAGGACTCACCTCCCGCCTTACACTTAGTGTGACCCGACCAGGAGACTGTCCACTGATACGTATCATGCCCCCCGTGGTCCAGCCACACCCGCAAGTCCAGGGCGCTGGCTCGCTGGGGGAGGACCGCCCGGTGCAGACTGCAGCCCACCTGCCAGGGTTGCCCTTCTGCTGTGCTTTGTGCGTGTCCGCACGAGGTGTGATCCAAACTCTGGTGAACCCTGCTGCCGCCACGTGCCACCCGACAGAAAGCAGCCTGGTGAGAACACTGTTCCCAAGGCTTGCGCAGTGAGACTGCCGGCTCTTCTGCGGAGGAGAAATGATCACGAAAGGTGAACGTTTGAACTGATTCTGGATGTTAAGGCACCTATGACAGGACAGCTAAAGACAGTGACAAAAGAATTATAAAGTGGCAGGCGTGGTGAGGGGCGTTTTAGAAGGAAAAGGAAGGATTCTGAGGGGGATTAACGGCAGTAATTTTTATGTAAACATTCACTATGTTTTGATTGTACCTCATAGATATAAGTCCTTTATCAGACCAGTGTTGTGCAAATATTTTGCAAAACGTTCTTCTGTTGCTTTTTTTCTCTTAACAATATCTTTCATAGTGTAGAAGCTATTAATTTTAATAAAGTCTCGTTTACCAGTTTTTTTATGGATTCTTTTGATGTTGTCTCTAAGAAATTATCACCAAACCCAAGGTTATTTAGATTTTCTCCTGTTACCTTTAATAAGTTTTATAGTGTTGAGTTTTTCATTTAAGTTTATAACTCTTTTAAAGAGATATAAATGTTTAGGATCATTTATGTTTTATTTTTCGTAGCATTTCTATGTCCTGATGTTCCAGTGTCATTGACAGAAAAGGCTTCTTTCTCCTTTGTATTGTCTAGCTTTCTTTGTCAGAGATCAGTTAGTTGACTATGTTTGTTTGGGTCTGTTTTTGCACTGGGTTCTGTTCTCTAGATCTGTATATCTACATCGCCAATACCACATTATCCTGATTATTGCAATTTAATTACGATATCATTTAAATATTAATGTTATTTAAATAGTAATGTTTATTTAAATAGTATTATTTAAATAGTACCTGATTATTTAAATAGTAATGTTAGCCTCCCCGCCTTTGTCGTCAATGTTATATGACTATTTTCAGTTTTTTTTAATTTCCTTGTGTTTTAGAATCAGTTTATCATTATCCACAGAATAACTTGGTGTTGTTTATCGGGATTTCCTGAACAAGCAGAGCAAGTTAGGAAGACATTAACAGCGTCGGGTCTTCCTATCTATGGACATGGAATTTCTTTCCACGTTTGACCGGGAGTCGAATTCATGACCTCGTTTGCCAGGCAGATGCGGAGCTACATTCCCAGCCCCATCTTTCCATTTATTTAGATTAAAGTTAGACGTTTATAGTTTTCCCTCATATAGATTTTATGTGTACTTTGTTAGATTTATTCTTAGTTTTGTTTTTTAATGTTAGTGTAAGTGGTTCTGTATTTTTAACTTCTGATTTCGTTCTTCATTGTGGTAGGGAGGAAATCGGTTTACTTTTAAATGGTCATCTTGTATCTTGCTTCCGTGCTATACTTATTTGTACGTTGGTGAAGTTAAATTTTTTTTTGTATTTTCTGTAGTCATGTGATCTTTAAACAAAAGCAGTTCTGTTTCTTCCCAAATAGTGTCCATTTTGTTTCTTTTTTTTACTGCATCAGTTAGGATTTTCAGTACAATATTGAATGGAACTGTTGAAAGGGAACAACTTTGCTATGATTTAAAATTTGTTTATAGTTTTCATTTTTTATATAGTATTGGGTTAAACCCAAGGCCATGTGGATGCTAGGCACAAACTTTAACACTGAGCTACACCATAGTTTTTTTTATTTTTTATTTTGAGACAGGGTCTTCCTAAATTGCCCAGGCTAGCTTCAAACTTGGAATTCTTTGGCTTCATCCTCTCGATTAGCCGAGATTATTGGCGTGTGTCATTGTGCCTGGCCTTTGCCCTTATTTTTTAATGTAATGTTACCATTAAGAGTGATATTAGGCTTGAAGCTGGCACTGCCGCTGCCGTGTCTTCTAGGGCCAGTGTGAGCACCCCGCGTGGCGCAAGCTGGAGGCCTGCGTGGAGAGGATCAGTGCCTCAGCATCCTGCATGCCGGATGCCTGTACAGATGCCCTGCTGGCCGTGTGCCTGCAGGAAGCCGCCCTCCAGGAGCGCAGGTCCTCTGAACACTGCAGGGAGAAGGTTCACCGAGCAGTGCCTTCAAGTGATGAAGAACTGCCTCCGAGTCTCGGGAAAACAGTTTTCTCTTTCCAAATGACTTTTAGATATTTCATATCTTTCCTGTGGTCTGGTCCCATGGCCAGAATTCTACAGAAATAAATCATTTTCTACACAAAAGAAAGTGAGCAAAGAAGTTTTAAATATATTATTGTGGCTTGGTTGGTTCTTTTGCTGAAGGCTTTATAGTAAGACAAACAAAAGCCTTACTGCCAAGTATCCCAAAATACACCTCTTTCAACTGAAGTTAGGTGAGCTGGTGCATATCTATAATCTTAGCATTCTGGGAGGTAGAGGCAGAAGAATTCAAAGTTCAAGCCCAGTGTAGGCAACTTAGTGACTTAGTGAGACCCTGTCTCAAAAAGAAAAAGGGCAGGGGAACGGAAGTGCAGTTCAGTGCAGAGGCCCTGGGTGCAGTCTTCAGTACCACAAAAACAAAACAAAACAAAACACTCTTCAACAACAGCAGAACAAATAATTGAATGTATTGGCTGAAAACAAACCCAGATGCCACAGTGGTAACTTTAAAACTGTAAGGCAGGTCTTTGTACTGGTTTTAGAATCTTTTAGTATTGGCTCATTTGGAAAAGTACATTGCTGGCAAATGCAGCTCCCTGGTGGCATGGATTTAGAAAGTCAGTCCCTTGAAATCCTGTTTTTAAGGCTTTGATAAAAGATAGATAGTGGGAAACAAGGATACGGATCTTTTGCAAATAGGAAAGTGATGAAAAGATGGGAAAGGGACATACAGAGAACCAGGATGTGTTTGTACATGCACCAACTCTGCAATGAAGGTGGTCATTGTACACTGCAGACACGTACCAATTAAAATAAAAATTACAAATGAAACACAAATTTAAAATTGTCTGAGTCAGTCATAAATCATTAACCCTGATGCAGCTTTCATGAGTTAATGTGCTTTTTTGTGGGATGGGATATAATTTCAAAACTTGGACCTTCATTTAACTCCCAGATTTCTTTCTACAGGCCATCTTACAACCTGTGTTGGCAGCAGAAGATTTTACTATCTTTAAAACAATGATGGTCCAGAAAAACATTGAAATGCAGCTGCAGGCCATTAGAATCATTCAAGAGAGAAATGGTAAAATGTTGGAGTTTGAAATATAAGTTCTAAATCCATTTTTTTTCCAGTTCTGGTTGTAATATGGTCTTAATTGTAGCTCTCGTATAAATTTATTTCAAGTTTGAAACTTCTTGGTACATGCAAGAGATTTTAAGTGCATAAACTTCCTGATCTGTGTGTATTTGACATCTCAAAGAAAGCAGGCCAAAATTTGATTTGATGGTGTTTTAGATGTTATAGATGTTGGTTTTTTACTCAGCCGTTGTGTTTATGATATTCCTGAGTGGTGTAGTGACTGCCGAGAGAAGGTGCCTATTCTCCGGGCTTACTGCTGTGAGTGGCCTTGGTAAGGGGTCGTGGTTCCCAGGCTTTGTGCTCATTAGAATCCACGCAGAGCACTGCCGAGACTCACGCTGCCACCTCCCGGGTCTGCCTTAGCAGGAGTAGGCTGGTGCCTGAAGATCTGCTTTTTTTAAAAATTGGAGCATCCCAGTTATTACACATTTCTAGACTATCCATTTGTTTTCCTTTATGTTTTTCTACATAGGCAAACCTGGTTGTCTCAGTATTTATTTATTAGGTTATTGGTACATTTTAGATACACACACTGGGCACATTCATCATAGGAAATCTGGCTGTACGTGGTATAACTCGATGCTTTTGCTGTTCCATTCCCCTGCCCTCCCGTCAACGCCCCTTCCCCTCCTTATTTACAGACGCTTGGTTCCCACTCTTTTCCTCCCTTCTCTCATTTTTCCTTCCCCCTCCCCGCTCCCTAGTTTCCCTTCCCATTTGAACATTTTCTTCCTATTTCATAATGTCCAGTATACACTTTGGTCCTGATTTACATTTTTGGTTTCTCACACCAGAGAAACTGTGGTTTACACATGTGTGTCTGATTTATTTCACTTAAGCATATAGTCTCAAGGTGTGTCCATTTAGCTAGAAATATCTCAAGCGTATCCTTTTTATGGCAGAGTAGTACTCCATTGTGTAATAACCCACCTGTCTCCAGGTGATGCTGAAACTTGCCAGAGCTGGAACCACACTTAGATCCCTGGTCTGAACACAGGTGCATGTGATTATCAGCCCATCATATGGAACAGAGAAGAGAAATAGCGCTCTTGTAAATCTCTTTGGCTTCGTCTTTGCCTGTCTCTGTATTCAGACTGCCTTGCTTTCTCTGCTCTTGTGTCCTTCTTGTGTGCCTGAACTGCATTAGAAGTTCTGATTCCCAGCAGCTAAGCTGCTACCCATGTTTCTTGTTACTGTGCCATCGCCTATTTAAAATAGACTCCACTTGGGGATATAGATCCACGTTAAGAGTTCATGGCTAACAAGAATTAGGGCCCGAGTTCAGTCCCAAACACCATAAAAACAAAGTAACTACAGTGAAAATAAACCCTTAACATTCATAGTTTTGGTAATTTCATTTTAATTCTTGTGTGTTCCTTTTGTATTGCTTTGCTCAGTCGATTTGCACTGATACTCTTCTCAGTGGTTCACAGTCCACCCCCCATGCTAGGGATTAAATTTAGGAATTTAGGACCTTGGTGCTGAGCCGCATCTCCAGCCCTTTTAAACTTTTTTTAATTTTGAGACTGGGTCTTGCTAGGTTGTTAAAGTTCTCAGGTGGACCTCACATTTGTGGTGCTCCAGAGCACTAGGATTGTAGGATGTGCCACTTGCTTGGCTGCCCGCTTCAGCAGTTTGGAAGCAGGACCTTGCCTTTGTTTCTCGAAGTGAGAGCTCTACTTAGATGTATTGTGTGCTCTGAAGGGTTTGGATGCCAGACCCCTGATAAATGCCAGTTTTCTGGTGATATTGTACTATATTATAGTATAATTATATGGTACTGTGTGTATTATATTGTACTATAATTTTACAAGATGTTACCACTGGGGGAAACAAAAAAATGTTGTCTTTATTTCTTTACAACTGCATGTGAATTTGCAGTTATCTCAAAATGGAATGTTTAATTTTAACAAATGTATCTAAACATCCAGAGGATTAGAATGATAAAGCTACTTTACTTCAGAGCACATCTAAAGTCCCGCAGTCATATGTGGGTAGCGAAATGGAAGGTAAACAGGAGAAGACATTCTGTTAGTGTTATTGGATGTAATTATTATAGATATGAAAACAACATTGACTACCAGCTTGCATGCTTATAAGTTAAATCAACATTTAAAATTACTTCCTGTGAATTTTTATGTGCCTTTAGGCAAAGTTGGTACTGCTGTGGTCTATAGTTATTAGGCTAATAACTAAACAGATGTTCTGAGGGTGGAAATTGCATCTTTTATCTTCATGTCCCCCAAAGGGCTCGGCACCAGGCTTTCATTGCACATAGTAGGCAGGGCCATTTTGAGTACCGTTTGTCAGAGTAGGAAGGAAGAGTATTAGATGTTGTTTCTTTCCTTTATTTTGGTTTTGGTTTTTGGGGGTACTGGAATTGAAACCCAGGACCTTGGGCTTGCCAGGCGGGGGCTGTGCGGCTGAGCTTTATCACCTGGCCCCTTAAATGCCGTTTTGATAAAATACATTTTGTAAGTCCTTTTTCCGTCTTAACGGTGACCTTGGAGAACATGCTTTCATTATTTGCCCTAGCATATTAATTTCAGTGTATGACCTCAGATACTGTGTGATGGAGACAGTAACTTACACACATTTTAGGACCCTACTTTTTTTATTTGGTGGTGCTGGAGCTCTAGCCCTGGACCTTAGACATGCTAGCCTAGTGCTCCACCACTGAGCTACATCCTCAGCTCCTGGCATTGTTTTCAGTAGTGAATGCAAATAATCATTGAGAGAGATTTCTAGGTAAAATGCTGTTTTTGGTGGTACTTATTCCTTAAAATAAGAAAAAATAAAAAACACTAGAGTTAAAAAGATAAGCTTGGTGGGGCATGGAGGCACATGCCTGTAACTGCAGCATTTCGGAGGGTGAGACAGGAGGATCGCTGAGTTTGAGGCCAGCCTGGGCTACACAGTTCAAGGCTGGGCGAACTACGTGGCGAGACCCTGTCTCAAAACAGCAACAACAAAACAACAACAAAAGATAAGCTTGGAATGTTTTTAAGGTGATAAATCATAAATTAATTTTACTAGAGGAACTGGAGCATTGGGAAATAGAGAGTTTTCAGTTGAGCTGAGTTGATGTTCTTCATGTGGTGTTTGTTTGCAGGCGTATTACCTGACTGCTTAACTGATGGTTCTGATGTGGTCAGTGACCTTGAACAGGAAGAGATGAAAATCCTAAGGGAAGTTCTTAGGTACCTTTGTTTACCTATTTTGAATGATCATTAGAAATACTAATCTCATAAAGTGACCTGTGTATATATGCTTTTTACCTAGAAAATATGAATTCTGTACTGAAGACTAACAAAATGACATATCATTTTGCAACTTGTGTCTCAATACAATTTGAGAATCCTTTGTCCAGACTGCTTAGGGCAGTGTTTCTGATTTTTGATAATTTGGAATTTGGAATATTTGCATAGTCCTTACTGGCTGAGAACCCCTAATCTGAAAATCTAAAATCTGCAGCATTTTTGAGGATCACCTTGGCATACAAAAAGGTTTTGACTATTTGAGCATTGCAGATGCAGATTAGGAATGCTCAACCTGTACTGTTTTTTTTCTTTTTTTTAATTTAAAAATTATTTAAATTTTATTTTAGATTATTAGTCCATGTTTTCAGTGCATAATGTTTACATTTCTTGTGTGGACCTGGTTCGTGAACATAGCACACCCCAGTTCATTTCTTTCATCCACCATCTCCCTACCTTCCCTCGCCCTCCAGCTCTTGATCCATTTCCTTTGAGGAAGATCTGTCGCCTGGCTTCCTGTTCTCTTTTATTTTGCTGTGTATTTTTACTCTGGGTTTCACAGACCAAAAAAAATGATTTTTTTTAACACTAGTTAATGTATTGCATATTGTTATCTTAGAAGTAGTTGCTCAAGAAAAAATGATTGTCAGCTGATATGTTCCAGATCAGTGTAGATGACAGGCCCAGCCCCATCGTGGGAGTGGGGGTCAGCTCAGCAGGAGAAAAAGGCTGTAGTGGAGCCAGCTTACTCCTTGGAGATTTTTTTTTTTACTTTCAGAAAATCAAAAGAGGAATACGACCTGGAAGAAGAAAGGAAGAGAAAAAAACAGGTGCCTACAAAACATATAAACGCAACAGACGTGTGTTTCATTGCTACTATCTCTTATGAATTTTTCACCTAGTCTTTGTTGTTAGTATTTAAGCTTTTGTGGAATTACATCGTGCCTCGGTATTCATATTTTTTTGGCAAATCTAAACACTTATATTTAATTTTTATAGTTTTTAAAGAATATAGTAAGCATATACTTTCTTATAATAATGTGTACTTCATGCATTCTTGTAAAGAAAGGATTTCTTAAAAAACAAAAAAGCAATTCTTGAGGATGAGGTTTGGCTTAATAGTAGAGCTTGTGCTTAGCATGTGTAAGACTCTGGGCTCGGTTCCCAGTACCAAAGCACAACCCAGCAACTAAACAAAAACGTTCTTTATAACTTTATGCATTTTATAATTTATCTGCAAGCTACCATAAAGAGTATGATCATTAGCTTTAAAAACTAATACCATATTTGGGAGAGTTTCTTATAAAAATTCCCATCAGTTTTCTGAAAGAAGATTAAGAAAAACATTTTACTTTTCCATTCGTCATGATTCCTTTATTGTTCTGAAATAGCAGGCGCCTCCAGGCGTTAGTTCTCCCACTAAGAGCCATTTCCACCAGTGCTCCATCTTTCCAGAGATACATTCTGAACGTCGTATCGGCGGGTGATGGGAGCTAATGTTCTTTGTTTTACCCTTTCTGCTAATTCCCTTTCCACATTTTCCCAGTTTCCCTGAAGGGAAAAGGAAACAATATAAATTATCAATCACTTATTAGTTGTTTCGCTTGTGTTTGATTTTACTGTTTTTGAAAAATCTTTTAAGGTACCAATGAAGAGCAGATAAGATTTTCATATCTTTGAGTAAGTTTGTTTTTAGTAAAGGCATTGAAGTTTTTAGATACTAATAGTTTAAAATACAGGAGTATAGAACAGAAACCGGTTTAAAATTATAATTGGGATGCATTAGTTTTAGTTATTATTATTATTATTGGGTTTTTTTGGTACTGGATATTGAGCTCATAACCTTGTGCTTGCCAAGCAGGCGCTATGCTGCTGAACTAAATCCCCGCCCTTGGAATGAATTAGTTTTAACCCAATTTATATGAAAACCATAGTAGGTTTCTTGGATACCATGTTTTAGGGGTGTGCCAACTTTTTTTCTTTTGAGATATTTTTGTTATGAAACTTTCAGACTCATAAAAGCAGAGATAGTAATAATGTGTTCCCCTATGTGTACAACCCCACATCCAGGACCTGATGCTTTGTACCTCTGAGTCACCAAGTGAGTTACATAGCCTAGGATTTTCCTCTGCTTTTATGGAAAAATGAATTAACCTGAGCTACTTTCTAATTTTTTAAAACATTTCATCTTTGAATTTTGTAGGATAATAGTCATAATTAATCTAAATTGTTTGTGTGCTTTCAAATTGCATTATGGAACCTGAAGTTACCAGAGGCTAAAACAGAAGAACCCTTTGTGTACGCTAATGAAGCTGCCGAAATGGGTAATTCCCAAGCTGATGGCGAGCATTTGGTGCAGCCACCGTCAGGTAAGGTTGAGGGGCCTGGACTTTCCCTAATGACAGGAATTTGTGAACATTTTACAGAGCATCGTACTTGCATATATATTTAACCTTTGAAAGTTCTGGGAGGCAATATTGAATTGCTTCGGTGTTTAGAATTGCTTGTGAATTCAGTTACACAGTTTGCAGGTAGCAGATGCCGAGCTGAAAGTAGAGATTTCACCTTTTAAGTGAAGCTGAAGTGTCTGAGGAGTGAGCAAATCATTTTGAAGGAGCTGCCAGTTTTGTGCCGTGGCTGTGGCGTACAAGATATGTCACGCGACATTTTGTATGCTCTTACTTGCTTGTTTGTATGGTGTTTGAGCAAGAAACTGAACTTGGCAAGATGATATTAAATTACTTTTCTAATGAATTAAAGCACAACAAGAAAATGAAAGGCAGCCATTTAGTCCAGAGGTTTAGTCACTGACTGTCATTTCAGTAAAATCTGATGCAAATTCTTTTAGGAAATGTTAATATATGAACTCGTTCATTGTGACAGATTCGCTTCTGTTGTGCTAGGATTTCTTGTATAATAAAAGTAATTCTGAAGTATTATGATCATGATTTCAGTTTATTTTATTATGGATTTCTGTGGTTTTAAATAAACGTCCATTTCTCAGTTAAAAAACACTGAGGCTTTTTTTTGGAAGGGAGTCAGGAAAGTTTAAAAACTCTTTATTTATTCTTATTAGTACATAACTGTTACGTTCCTGGTGGGGAGCTGGTCACGGACATAACAGTCTTCCTGCCTCTCATTCCCTCCCCATCCTCTCCCTCCTCCCATTTGCGAAAGGTCTGTATCTCTTCTCCCTATTAATTTTTATTTCACTCTTTTTTATCTTTAAGATTTTGCTTGTAAGAGAAGCCACCTGATATTTAAGCTTGTGTGTCTGCTTTATTTGACTTAACGTGTTCACAAGGTACATCGTTTCCTACAAATGACTCGTGTACCTTTTTAATGCAGAGTCGTTTTTTTTGGTCTTTTTGACCAAGGCTGGCCTTGTGAGAGTCTTGAACTAGCTGTCATCCTCCTGCCTCAGCCTGCTGGCTGCTGGGATGACAGGCGTGAGCCACCATGCCCAGCTGGCATAGTATTCTACTGTGGAAACAGAGCACGTTTTCTTTACCACTCCCCTGCTGATGCATAGGCTGCTTCCAGGATTTAGCGGTTTTGAATTATGCTGCTGTGAACATAGGTGTGCACTTGTCATGGTCACATGATGTCATTAACTCAGGATGACACCTGGCAGAGGAATGGGATGTTTGGTTGTACTTTTCTGAGAAATTGCTAAACTGATTTCCATAATGATTGTAGTAGTTTATATATAGCTTGGTTTCATGGGATGTTTAGCTTGATTTTTTTTGAAGAATTGCTATACTGATTCCCATAATGGTTATACCAGTTTATATTCCCACCAACAATGTACAATGGCTCCTTTTTTTTTGTCTTTTTCATTTTTTATCGGTACTGGAGATCGAACTCACGACTGCCTGCTTGCAAGGCAGGTGCTTATGCCGCTGAGCTAAATCCCCAGCCCCTACAATGGCTCGTTTTTCCCAGAAGCCTTGCCAACATTTATTATTATATGATTTATTGATGCTAGCCCTTAATTCTGAAATAAAATGGATCTCAATGTTGTTTTAATTTGCCTTTCTGTAATGGTCAGAGATGTGCAACATTTTTTCATGTAGTTATTGTTCATTTTTACTTCTAATAAGTGTCTGTTCATTTCAGTGACTCATTTTTCTTTGACTGGGTCTTTTGTTTTGGGAGAGTCTAATTTTTTTGTTGGTATCGGGGATCGAACTCATGACTTTGTGCTTGCCAGGCAGGTGCTTCTACTGCGGAGCTAAAACCCTGGCCCTGAGAGTCTAATCTTTAAATATTAGTTCTTTGTGGTGTAATCGGCACATTTTTTCCCACATCTTGTAGGTTGTCTCCTCACTTTGTTGTTTCCTTTGCTGTACAGAAACTTTTTAATCGATAACAACCCATCTGCTGGCGGTTGGTATTGTTTCTTGTGTGATTGGGATTCTGTTCAGGAAATCCTTGCCTATGCCTAATTTAGCTTCCAGTTAATATTTTGTTTTATATTGATCTTTAATTCATTTTGATTTTTTTTTTTAGTACATGATGAGTGATATGGGTCCAGATTCAGTCTTCAGTGAATGAATAGTCAAGTTTCTCAGTATCATTTTTAAAAGAAGCTTCTTTCTTCCAGAGTGTGATATTGGCCACTTTCTCAAAGATCAGGTAGCTCAATGTGCCTAGAATTACTTTTGCATCTTGTATTCTGTCCCATTGAATTCATGTCAGGCTGTTTATTTTTTCTCCCCAATTTCATGTTATTTTTTTTTTAATCACTGTAGCTTTGTTACATAACTTGAAGTTCAAGATTGTGATGCCTCCTGCTTTATTTTTGTGGTCCAGGATTGGTTTTGCTATTTTGGGGTCTCTTCTGGTTCTGTATGAATTTTAAAATTATTTTCTCTTGTTCTTGAGGGATGCTGTTGGTCTTTTGATTGGGATTGAATTAAATCTGTGTATCAGTTTTGGAAATATGGCCATTTTAACAATATTGGTTCTGCCTATGCAGGAACGGGGAGTATCTTTCCATTTTCTGATGTCCTCTTCAGTTTCCTTTTTCAGAGTCCTGTAGTTTTGTGAGGTCTTGCACTTCCTTTATTTATTAAATATTTTATTTTTATTGACGTTATTGTGAATGGTATTGTTTTCCTAATTTTTCTCTCAGTGGGTTCATCATTGGTATATAGGAACACAATTTTTTGTGTATTGATTTTGTATACTGGTATATTACTAAATTTGGTTATTCTAGGAGTCTTTTGGTGGAATTTGTTGTGTCTTACATGTAAAAGATCATGTCATCTGTAAATAATGGTAATTTAACATCTTTTTTTTTCCCTATACATATTCCTTTTGTTTCTTTCTCCTGCCTGATTGCTCTGGCTAGTTTCTAGTATTATAATGAACAGGAGTGGTGAGAATAGACATCCTTGTCTTGTTTCCGATTTTAGAGAAATAGCTTTCAGCTTGCCCTATTTAATAGGATGTTGCCCATTGGTTTATCATAATTGGCTATTACCAGAATAGCTATTACCAGACCTATTGCAGGTTCCTTCTGTATGTATATTCTTCATGGTTTTTGGCATGAATAGAAGTTGGATTTTGTGAAAGGCGTTTTCTATAGTTTTTGAGATTATCATGTGATTTTTGTCCTTTTGTTTTATGTGATATGTTACATTTATTGTTTTATGTATATTTCACCATTTTTGATGATGTGTTACATTTTCTTTGCCAGTATCTTCTTGACAATTTTTGCATCTACCTTCATTAGAGAGTTTGGCTTGCAATTCTCTTTTTTTGTTGGTTCCTTTTCTAATTTTTTTTTTTTTTTTTTTTTTTTTTTGGTCTTTTTGAGACGGGGTCTCGCTATGCAGTTCAGGCTGGCCTTGAGCCCACTTTGTAGCCCAGGCTGGTCTGGACTTCGCAACGATCTTCCTGCCTCAGCCTCCAGAGTGCTGGGATTACAGGCGTGAGCCACCATGCCCAGCTTCTTTTTCTAATTTAAAAAAAAAAAATGTAAGTTGATGCAAATTTTTAAGGTGATGACTCATGGATTCGATAGCGATATTCAAAATAAAATTTCTTTTTGTGAGATTTATCTTATCGTTGTGGTTAAACTCCTTAGTTGTTATCATCCCAGTTTATTATCCTCCAAAACAACTGGCTGCCTATGGGGTAGCAGTGGAGGTGCCCTGCCTGTCTCCCAGGCCTGTGCAGGCCCGCTCACGGGAAGGGCCGGCTGACTTCCTGGTCTTCGTGGGTCCTTTTCTGGTATTAGAATCAGGGTAATGCTAACTTGGAGGAACGACTTTGAGAGGACTCCTTCCTTCAGTTTTGTTAAAGAGTTTGAAGAATATTGGCATTAGTTTTTCCCTGAAATTCTTGTACAATTCAATAGTAAATCCATTGGGACTTGGGCTTTTCTTGGGCTAGGGATTTTCTCAGTTGGTAGTTTGTTTTATTTTTGCTTCGATTTCATTGTCTGTTACCGGACTGTTCAAGGTTTTTATGTCTTAGTTCAGTCTTGGTGATTCATATGTATGTAGAAATCCTTATTTCTTCAATTCTCCAATTTTTAGAGTACAATTTCTCAAAGTAGTTACTATAATAATCTTCTGGATTTCAGTGGTTATCTTCTGTGATTTTGCCTTTTTCATTTCTAAATGCATTGGTTTGAGTCTTTTAAAAAAAGACTTTGTAAAGATTTTTTCTATTTTGTTTACCTTTTCAAAGAATCAGCTCCTGGTTCTTTGTAATTTTTTAGTTTCAATTTCTGCTCTCATCTGTATAATTTTCTTCCTTGTATTTGAACTGTTCTTTATTTTTCTAGAACCTTGAGGTGCATCATTAGGTTATTTGGGGTCGTTCTGTTTTTCTGATGTGGGCATTTTCAATGATACACTTCCTTCTTAAGACTGCTTTTTATTGTGTCCTATAAATTCTGGTGTGTTTTACTCACATTATTGTTTGATTTTTTAAGGAATCATTGAGTTTCTTACTTGATTTCCTTTGTGACCCATTGATTATTCAGTGGTATATTGATCATGCATAATTTGCATAATTTCTGTGGTTTCTTTTGCCGTTGATTTCTAGTTCATTGTGCTATGATCTGATAATATACATGGAATATTTTGATTCTTTTGCATTTACTTATGCATGCTTCATAGGCTATTATGTGGTCAGTTTTGGAGAAAGTTCCATGTGCTGCTGAGAAGAATGTATATTGTTATTGGGTAAAACACTCTATAGATATCTATTATTCCATTTGTTCAAAGATTTGGTTCAGCTTTGATAATTTGTTGATTTGTTTTGTCTAGTTGATTTATGACAGTGGGGGTATTGAGGTTCCCCACTATAATCGTGTTGGTGTTCCTTTGATCTTTTATGTCCAGTCATGTGTGTTTTAAGAAGTTGGGCATGCTGGTGTTCAGTGCATATATGTTTATAACTGTTATCTCCCTGTTGAATTATTCCTTTAATCAATATGTAATGACCATCCTTGACCTTCTGATCAGTTTTGGCTCAAAGTCTACTTTTTCTGAAAAAGAGCTCTACCCCTGGCGTTTTTCAGGTTTCTGTTGCATGGAATATTATTTCCCATCTTTTGATTTTTAATCTGTGAATTTCTTTTTGGACTAAATATTTTTCTTGGATACAGCACACTATTGAGTTTCATTTCTTGATCCAGTGTGCTGGTCTATTTCAGCAATAAATTGAACTGTCCCTTTTCCAGCTCTGTGGTTCCATATTCAGTACCCGAGTATCGGGTCCTGACTAGATCCCCAATCTCCCAAACGAGTATATGGTGGAGGTTTTAATAAAATGAGACAAGTGATATGATTTTAGTGTTCTAGGAGGGTCAAAACCCTTTAGTTGAGCTCAAAACTCCGAGGACTAAGACAAAGACTCTCTGGACCGCCCACTTTATTTATTAGGTCCAACAACAAGGGACAGGGAAACTGAGGAAGGCACAGGCAATGAGAGGACCTTGGGAGACACTTCAAGGATGTCTCCAAGTAATGAATCATGTCAGCTCAGTAGCACTGTCTTATCGTGAAGACATGGTAGGAGTGAGACTGTAGCAATAATTCCTGCAGCTGCAGTCTCTATCTCGTTAATGGGTTGGAGCCAGGTGTCCGCAGCTGTGACCTTGTCTTCCCCTTTGAGGTATCTCTGGCCTCACAGGCCACTACAGGCCTCAGCCAGGGCCAGCGGTTCACTTACAATCCAAAAAGTTATATTTACAATCCCATTGAGATGTTATTGGAATCCCAGCAAGTTAATTCCAATCTCCCACCTCCAGTGCAACCCACGTTGAGAATAAAGACACCAAGACATATTCCAAGTAAGGACAGCCAAGGGGTCCTAAATCCAATCCCCATGAGGATGTGCGGACAAGGCTCTGATCCTAGGCCTCACCCAGAACTTATTATCTTGTGAAGAAGGGTGCTCAAAGATGAGTGACCAGAATAATGTGATCTGGCTAGCCAGGTAAGGAGAAAAGCATCTCTGCAAAATGCAGAGATAAGGATATGCAGAAGGATCGATTTGCATAATTCAACTAAGGTAGCAATTGAGTTGTTTTAGAAGGCTGTTGATTTGGTTTCTGATATGTAAACTTTAGTGCCCTGGGGAGTCAAAGCCTCTACCTTGAGGCTCATACCAAGTTGAGTTGACATTCCTGGAGCTGATGGCTCTACCATCCCGCTGTGCTCCTATCTTTTACAGAGAGCACTATGTGAGGAAACAGGAGACTGTCTGCTTTAGAGATTACATACCAGTACCTGGGTAGCCTTATTTGCAATGCTTAGAGCCAATTGAAGAGAGAAGGAAATACCATAGCCAGCTCTGTACATATCAGTATAAGGAGATCAGTCTCAATATAATCAAAGTTGCAGCAATTGTTCTGCATTCAAGGGGAGTCACTCAAGTTGTCTCCCACAACGAGCTTTAGACCTGCCAAGTCAGTGAAACACTAAACACTATAAGCATTAAGTTGTATTCTGCCTCATCATCCATCATTACAGCCTGTGTTTCTCCAGATCAGCCAGTCACTTAAGGGGGAAGTGGGGGCAGGTGGCTGGGGATGTTGGCTCTCCTTGTGCCCAGCCTATGTGCTGGAAGGGGCTGGCATCTGGTTCTCCCCTGTGGCCCACACATGGCGCCGACTCGCAGGGAGGGCTTGCTTCTTGTTGGCCTCTTGTTCTCCTCGCCTGCAGTCTGCAAATGGTGCTGACTCTCAGGAAAAGGCTGGCGTCTGGTTCTCCCCCTGCTGTGGCCTGCAAATGGTGCCAGCTCACAGGGAGGCCTTGGCTTCCTCAGTCATTGTGGTTTCTGTGTTCTTTCTGTAATCCCTGCTTACTTTGTTTGAGAGTACTAGCTGCAGCCCGTTTCTTCCGTGGTTACGCCCTTGATCCTGTAAAGCTTTCCTTCTTCCAGTCTCCCTGGCACAGCAGTCATTCTACTCATCCTGTGCTGGGTCAGTGGTTCTTCTTTTGTGAGAGGCAAAGTTTCTTTTCTGAGTTTCCATGTTGGCAAGATTATTAATCATTTAGACATGTACCAATTTCTCTCTCTATGCTTTCAGTTCTTCATTTAATGTAAGTCATTGCTTGTCTCATTTTTCTTTCCTTCATAGCCTGTGCCACTTATACTGAAAATGTTTTTTTAAAGTTACCTAATTTCATAAGAAAAAAATGGCACAAAAGAACAATTAGAATGTTATTCATATCCCTAGGCACATTTCCAAATAGTTGGAAATTACTGGGTTTTCATGTTATATGCGTGCTTCCAGATTTCACTTAGTTTAGAAACCTTTACATATTCTTAATCCATTGGCAGGTTTTTTTTTTTTTTTTGTTTTTGTGTTTTTGGTACTGAGGATCAAACCTATGGGTGCTCTGCCACTGAACTGTGTCCCTTACCTTTATTTTTATATTTTGAGACAGGCCCTTGAGAAGTTGCCCAGGTAGGACTTGAATTTGTGATCTTCCTGCCTTATTTTTTTCTCAACTTTGGCCAGTTTGTAGTTATCTTCAATATGGAACAAATTACAAACAAAAATTATTGCTATTTCTGGCATTTACTGTTGTAAAGCAAAGCAGTTTATAGATCTACAGCAGTTGTTCTGGTACCTAGTTTTTGTCTCCAAGCAATTTTGTAAATGCACGGTGTTAGTGAAGAATTAGTATTTGGTGAAATTTCATTATTTGTAAGATGAAGATCTATATTCTGAGCTCCTTAACCCTTTGAAGTCATGACTGACTTAGGAAGTAGACTTCCTATGTATTGTTAAGGGGCCTGTGACCTCTGCAGGGGTAAGGACCGAGATCATGTTCATTGTTTTCTCCAAGTATCTGGCACAACATAGGCACTGAATGTATGTTGGCTGAGTGAATGTGAAGAAAACTATTATCATAAATGTCAGCTTTAGTGAACTTATCTTACTATTTCTTACAATGTTCTAATTGGTTTCATTGTCTAATTACTGCCAGAAGTTAAGTCACCTTTTGCTAATTCATCAGCACAAGCCTTGGCAAGAAAAGTGAAAATGTTGCCTGAAACTTCCTCTCTTTCCCAAAAAGGCTGGATGCCTGGCTTAGAACATACACGCATTGAAGGACCAATAGCAGTAAGTAAAAGACATCACTTGCAGAACTATAGGCAAAATGACAAGGCACTGGGAAAATGCAAACAGCCCTACACTTGGCTTTTGTTACAAGACTGAACTCAAACTTATCATTGAATGTAACTGAGATAATATATATCTTTGACATTTACTAAATGGGCTTGAATTTAGATGATTCCTTTCCTTAACTGACCTAGAATCTGTCAGCACTTGGAACAGAAGAGCTTCGACAACGAGAACAGTATCTCAAGCAGAAGAGAGATAAGTTGATGTCCATGAGAAAGGATGTAAGGACTAAGCAGACTCAGAACACAGAGGAGAAAGGAAAACCTGCTGGGGAGGCAGAGGTATGGCCAGCCTTAGACGTCCAAATACGCCAGTATAGAGGTGGATTTCTCAGTAGGTGCAAGAAGGCCTCTGTGAATTTTGCTCATACATCTTCTCATATTAAGTATCCTGCTAATGTGACAGCAGCTGCATCATTCCTGGGGGAGTTGTGATGAGACAGGCATAGGGTTTCCCTTGTCGTTTTTTACTTGTATTTGACCTAGTGTACCTGAGCCATGTGAAATGTTTGAAGTGTTCTAACCCGACTACTGGTGCCACTTCCAAGAGGCTTTCCCAAGAAGAGAATTTACAAAAAGAACCTAGGCTGTGTCTAGCTTTTTTTTCTTCCCTGAACATGCCCTTAATCACTGACCATGTCCTTTTGAGGCTGTGTATTGGGAATATTAGACAACACTGTAGCCAATATTTTTCTTTTCTCTTTTGAAGGAAATGACAGAGAAGCCAGAAATGACAGCCGAGGAGAAGCAAACACTACTAAAGAGGCGAATGCTTGCAGAGAAACTTAAAGAAGAAGTTATTAATAAGTAATTTAAAACTTAGCAAAACAGAAGTCCAAATTTTCTTAAAAATAAATTTAATCCTTGAACCAAGATTAGTTTCAAGTAAACGCTCATTTTTTTTTAAGTGCAAATATTAAGCCCATTACTAAATATCTGAGGTGGAGTAGGGAAGGCAGCTACTTATCTAGTATACATTTCTGGTAAGGTTTTCTCCTGGGGAACCAGTCTAACCTGAGTATCTGTTTGTGTCGGGCCACAATGTGTTACATACTAAGGACACAGTAGTTAACCTTCCCAGGGCTAGTGAAGTACTGCCAAGAGCGGAAGGAAAAGAGTGGAGTACTGCCAAGCCGGGCTGGCGAGGAGCCTTAAGCAAATTCAGCTGACTGGAAGGGTAATGGCATGCAAAGGAGTAGTTTAGGTCTTGCAGCAGGTAAGAATAATGCATATAACTGAGGAATTGAGAGTATATTTAGGGTAGTAGCAAGGGTTAGCATATAAAATCCAAGACTGGTGAGGTGCTAATCATGTAGGGCTTTATAAGGAATGTGAAACATTTAGTTTTATAATATGGGCAGTGGGAGGTTACATGACTAGTTATTTTCATTTTAAAAGATGGGTGGCTACTGTACATTTCAGTAGGTGGGATAACATAGTTGCTGTACCAGGTGTGAGGCAATCCAAATAAATGTCTTGGGCATTTACTGTTACTTTTGAGTCAAGCCAATTTGAACTTAGAAAATAGATGGGGTTATTAAAAATACTCAAATAGCTACTTTCTAGAGAAGATACCATGATATGAAAACAGGAACGACTGCCTGTTCAGAGTATTACCAACTGAATGGATCTTTTATAAGACCTTGAAATAAATTTCTGCAGTGTTTGAAGATAACCAAGTTTTCTATTGTGCTGTCCTATGTTCTAGTTATTGGACAACCATAGGTTTAATTCAGAATTCCACTTTATCTCCTATGGCTATAAAGGATACCAAAACTATTTGAACAAAATTTGCTTATGTTATATGGTTCCAGTGTTCAACTACAGAAAACGTAGTATTCTGTTATATTTTTGTCACTAAATGGACAAGAACTAGTGATTGAAACACAGAAATGTTACATGTAACTTTTAGATCCTCTAAGAGGGAACCTAAGTAATGTAAGTTCTAAGAGGACCTAAGTAATACAAATGTGAGTTCTGGCTTGCTTTATTGAGTGATAATATAAATACCCTGACTTGCCTGACAGTAGTCATGTAAGACAGCAGCTAATGTGGATTTTCATGGATGTGCTTCTATGGTATCTTACTCTCATTGTGCAAGGCACATGTGCATGAAAAGCGGCACCTTGGATTCCAAGAGAACATTCACATTTGTCCAGTAAGAGTTCTTACAATGATGACGATTTAAGTTTAAGACTCATGACAGTTCTTTAGAATATTAAAGTTTCCATAAAGTATGCATGTGATATTTCCACTGTGATTTAAAGTTAAGTCAGGAATAAATAGAAATGTTTTAGGCTAAACTGCTTAGATTAAGAAGGAACTGAGTAAGAGATAAAGAGGCTCAAATTTACTTCACTGATTGTTGTGTTGGCTGAAAATACCTGACTCATGTAAGATGGGTTTTTATTATGTGTGAACTTTGAAGAAGTAAGAATAGTTTCATGGTGTAATGTTTTAGTGCTGAAATTTGATTTTCCAAGGCTAAACTTTAAGTCATCAATGATACTAAAATTACAGTTGACCTTAAAGAGTTTCATTCAACTGGTGTATGACCTAGTGGTTTATATAATAAATATGGACAAATTTTACTGAATTTTAAAAGAATGTAAAATGGACGTAGCTCAAAAGAGTTAACTTATATTTACAATAAAAAACCAGAAACATCAATCATGAAATTACAGGGTCACATTTTAATTCCTGAATTTTACAGTTCAGCGTTAATATCACCACATGTATACAAATGGTGTGGAACAAGTACAGTGGTATTTGTAATACAAAATAAACATCTGTTTTATGGAAAAACTATACTTTGTATCTACACAAACAGCCCATCTCTTTTCCAAACAATAGCCCAAATTAAAATTAGCTACAAAATCTCCAAAACAAGGGAAACTTCTTAAGTTTAAGCTATTCCAGGAAAAATGGACCCATAACACATTACAAATATGATCTAACAACTGTGGCTGGAATTACTATTTTTAGATTTTTTTCCCAATGCATCAAACTGTAGTTTGGGGACATTTTTCTCATCTCAGCATGATCTCAGATCACAGATGAGCAAACTAACATTAAAATATTTACAGTTAACTGACTGTTCTAAAAAATAACTGTTTGCCTCAACTTACTCATTTACGTACATGGAATGTGCTTTTACTCTTAAAGCAGCTTTCATATTATACTCCTTGCTTATGGAAAAGCTTAATGTGTTCCATGTGGCTTTGACACTGAAGTAACTTCTGGATCGGAATGGCTTTAGTTATTAAATGCTGCTTGTATTCAGCACTGTTCTTTTAAGATACACTTTACTAATAAAGCAACAACTTTACTAATAAAGTGACTTCCAGTGATCTTCCACAAAAGATTGTACTGGTAGATGGTTGAAAACACTGTTCTATCCACTTTTTAAGTTTCTGAAGATAATTCTGGAATACTAATACACTTTCTTGGCCATTATCTCTAAAAGTGCTGATTTTAAAGTCACACTAACAAAACTATGTTTTCGGAAAATCCAGCTTATTTGTGTCAAAATACATATTGAAAATTCCTGGTGTAGAAAACTTAACACGTGCTGTATATAATACAGGGTGGTGTATTTCCCTCCAACAATCTAAAAGGCTGAATTTGTGAAATCCTCAAAGAAATGGTCCCAACATTTTAACTTCACTTTAACGATTGATTTGTTTTCTATAAAAATTTATTTTAAAAAGAGGCAACTGTTTAAAACAACAACATGGCCAGCACCATTATACAAGTAATATTGTTGGATATGCAACTGAAGTTTTATGAACTTTTTCTAGATTGGACACCCCCCTGGAGCAACCTGACGTTACTGGATTACCGATATTTTCCCTCTAACAAACCCTCTCAAAACCTGAGACTTTCCGACAAGCTGTCTCCTGAGCTCCAGTAACTTTCTTCTTGTTTAATCTTGATAGCCAGAAAGGCACACCCCTTATTAGCAATTAAGTTCCTGGGAAGCCTTTTTCTTTTTTTCTTTTTAAACAGAACTAAACTCTCCTAACTGATATACTGAGGATCTTTTGCTACTCCTTGTGTATGTATGGTAAGAAGGCTTTCTGATTCAGATTTTCAGCTCATTAAACAGTTGCAGCAATTTAGTAAGACCACGTTCCAGGAGCCCCCAGTAAACATTTTATGAGCCCAGACGAGGTCTTTTCCTGGGGGATGTTTCTTCTTCTTCATCTTCCTCTTCATCGTCTGGATAATCCACTAAGCCAACCAGACTTCCCTATTGAAGAATTAAAAAAATGTTTTAAATATACGTAACATTTAAAAATGCTTATGATTACTCAGAGATACTAGAATCTTTTTGTAAACTGCGTATCTGAAATTAATACATATTTGAATTTAAGAAACTACTTAAAATTATGAACATTAACAGTACTAATTGGTAGTAGCACTCTCAGTAACCCCCAACTTTTACACTGCTTATTGCCTTTTTAGTGAAACCTCAGAACTTAATTCAGTTTAGGAAAAGAGTATTTTCCCAAACAGACACAACTGTAACATTCAGGAGCTGAAAAGGACCTTGTAGATGACTTAGTTCATTGCTCTAAATTTTTTTTTTGGTACCAGGGATCAAACTCACGACCACGCACTTGCAAGGCAGATGCTTATGCCACTGAGCTAAGTCCCCAGCCCCATCGCTCTAATTTTATACTAGTAAGTATCTTTGTAGTTCCCATTGACCTATGTATTTCATCATTTAGCACACATTGTTTTCATTCTGCTTTTGAAGAACAATTTAAAAGGCTAAAAATGATAACCATGGTCTAGTTCCTAAAAACCAGTAAATAAAAATATGGATGAAGTAACTCTGGGTAACAGGCCCTTTGGAAATCTTGGGTATGCTCCACAAAATTGAAGATGTCCACAGGAAATTAATTTTGAGCCAATTTTAAACTTAACATATAACCTACAGGTTAAGAGGTCTACTGTAAACACTATTTAGGGAATACCTTTCAGATCTCTAGGGAGTAAAAAACCCAGTAAGGTAATGTATCTTCCATACAAAAATAGGTTCACACATAAAGAATCCAAGAATGTGGCCTAAACACTTTACCAGGATGTAAGTGAAATGCCACTGTATTAATAAAAAAAAGGCCTCTGGGTACCTACCACACCTTAATCAGAAAATTTGTGAACTAAACAAAACTTACAAATGTTTGTGAAACCTACTTCTTGCTCAGCTAAATCACATCTTAAGTCTAGATAAGAGACAACATAGTTTAATTTAAGAATTCACGGACTGTAGCTAAGCATGGTGAGGCACACTTGTAATCCCAGCAACCGGAAGTCTTGAGGCAGGAGGATCAAATTTCATGCCAGCCTCAGCTACAAAGTAAGTGAGTTCAAGGCCAGCCTGAACTGCATAGTGAGATCCTGTCTCCAAAAAAAGGAAGAAAAAAAAGAAAAAGAAAAAGTATTTTGTAGTTGATGTGACTTCAAGCTACTATTTATCTGAATGTTCTTGGGCAAGCCATTTAATATCTACGTGTCTTAGTTTCTACATCTGTAAAAACTGGTGTAACAGTGTTTACATGTCATTAAACTATTTTGAAAATTAAATTGAAGATGTAAAGCATTTTGGCACTGAACTGGGTATGTAGTGTAGTTAAGTGCTACTAGTTGCCATTTCTATTATTTGTTACTTGGTTACTAGGCCATACATTAGGAGAAAAGAGATACAAGTACAGTAAGGAAAAGGCATCAATCTGATATTCACAAAGGTGAGATTCCAATAAAGCTTTAATTATGCTTACCATTGTATAGCACAATGTACAGACATCTCAGTCCCAAATGATTAATATGTGAAATGATTTCTTGGCTTAAGATTATGTGAAAAATGCATCTACATAATTTTGAATTTTATTTATATTTTGCATGCACAAATACATTTAGAAATTATGTTTATAATAAAAATACAAATGTAAAATGTTAATGTAAAAAGGCTGTAGTAACACAACTGTACCCTGTAAAGTCAACAGATTTCAGAATTTTAACACACATGTGGAAATCCATTCGTATGAATACTGGCTTTTGGGTGATGGTGGCGGTGGTGGTATTAGGGATTGGAACCCTAGGCCTTTGTAGTGAACGGCTATGTCTCCAGCTATGTATTTATTTAAATTTTAATTTTGAGACAGGTTTTTGCTAAGCCGCTAAATTGTATTTGGCCAGTATACCCCAGAACAATGGTTAATAACAACAGTGACAGTGGCATCCTATCTTGACTCCAGTGGGAATGCTTCTAATTTTTTCTTAGCTATAAAACTAGCTTTTGATATCTGTCATATAAAGAAATCATCCATTTATTGCTGTTTGTTTAAAATGGGAAATAATTATCAAACTCCTAAGTGCAGAACATATATAGAAATAGGTATGTATATAAAATGATGTAGAAGGTCACATATTGCTGAAGTGTTTCTAATTGCAAGGAGATGGAAAACCCTTAATGTCTATCAACAGGAGTTAATTATAAATTAAGGTATACTTACCCCTTTGAACTCTGAAGATTTACTGTGGTACTAAGAATTTGAACCCAGGGCTTTCACACAGAGCTACATTCCTAACCCTCTTTTTATATTTTGAGACAGGAAACTTTACCACTGATTCACAACCCCAGCTCTTTTTCATTTATACTTTTAGTCAGGGCCTCACTAAAATGCTAGTTTGCTCAGCCTAGGTCCAATCGGTGATCCTTCTGTTTTAGCCTCCTGGACTGCTGGGATTACAAATATGCACCACCACAGCCAGCATAGAAATGTTTTAATGTTCAGATACATAAATTCAAGACAAACTTGAATAAAAAAGCAAGACATGACATTTTCTTTGAATGTATAGCAAAAAAAAGTTTTCACTTTAGTCCCCATTAATGGCCCCACCTTCACACTGTATTACTAGGTATACAGATTAATGAGTTTCATTTTGGCATATTTGCACAAGTTTCTTATACGCTTTGATCACTTCGTCCCCCATTATCATCCTCGGCCCATCCTGTCCCTTAGTTTCACATTTTCTGGGGGCTTCAATGTGTATTATACGCATTTTCCTCATTGAAAATGTGCTTGTTTTACAGCCACACATTGTATTTTGTCTTTGAGCATTCACATCTTAAAAAACATCATTTAATTTCATTAGTATCTTTCCAGCCTTTAACTGTAGCAACTAACACTGATGGTAAAACTGACTAAACTTAAGGGGCGATGGTAATAAAGTGCTTGTCACTATTTAGGAATGTGGCCACAGTCGTAAGAAGGTTGTGACCATATCAGTGCTTTACTTCTGTATACTTTTAACCTGCTTAATTTCAAAATTTTCTGAAAGTTTATAGTGATGAAATAATTTGTTTTCTAAGAAAACAAATGACTGGTTTTATCCTGGTTCCCCTAAAAGATGTACAGCAAATATATTTCATTATCTGCTGTTAGTACAAGGGTTAAAAACATGTTTGTACTTACTTGAAAAAAATTAGGCAGGAGGATAACGAACTAAAAACTCAAGGAAATATCACAGAAAAAAAATAAGGAAACAATCAGAGAGGAAAGTTCAAAAAATTTTAAGGTTTATCCAGCAGAAAATGTTCTAAAACTGAAGCAAATGACTATTTAATTTCAGAACATAAGGTTAAAACTCCAAATCCTTTCGGAAGAAAATAGAATCACACAAAAAAACTCAACGTCTCTGACCTTCTTTGTAGCAATAATCTCAAACTCTTGGAGAATCATATTGTCATATTAACAATATGATTTTGTATTTAGTTATATTTTCAGTCAAGTATGAGGTTACAATAAATCATATTCATACCTGTATGGTCTCAAATTTTATCTTCCATGGTATTCCTTTTCTCAAGAAACTAATGTTGCCAAAATGACACAAAATTAAGAAAGAATGGCAATACAGAATCCAGGAAACAAATAATACAAAAAGGAGAGAAGCAAAAGGAAGAATTAGGATAATGGCAGAAGCCTTAAGGCCTGTAGAGCTGGTCTTAAGAGCAACCAGTCTACATAGAATACAAGGAGAGAGACTTCAGCAGAGCTGGTTCTCAGGGAAACATGTGGAACTAATCTTAAGAGATCCTAAAAAGTTAGCAGCAAGCACATAACTACTGTAACAAAAAAGTATCAATATTTAGAAAAAGTGGTAAGGAATAGTAAAAAAAATTAAAATATTAGTTTAAATAAAAATCGTGATAGAGGAAAGAGCAAAAGTGAAGATGTGGTAAGGAGTATTCATGTGTGTATGTACGAAAGCGAAACGTTCATTTATCATAATAATTAATAAATTATGTATAACCTTGGTACAACTGGTATTAACGTATCATTTAGAAATGGAGGAAAAGAGCTGGGGTGTGATGGTGCATGCCTGCAGTCCTAGCGCTCCTGAGGCTGAGGCAGGAAACCTGTCCAGAGTTTGAGACCAGCCTGGGCTACCAGGGAGCTCAAGGCCAGCCTGAACTGCATAATGAGACCCTGTCTCAAAAAGACAAAAAAGAAAATAAAAAATGGAAAACACAGCTAGGAAAGTTCAAAGCTCGGCTAGGCATGGTGGCATATGCCTGTAAAGCCAGCACTCCAGAGGCTGAGACAGGACGAGCCTTGCGAGTTCAAGACCAGCATGGGCTACAAAGTGAGTTCAAGGCCAGTCTAAACTACACTGCAGGACCCTGTTTAAAAAAAAAAAGGTTCAATGTTATCTTTGTGGGGAGGAACAGAGGGCTGATTTTTTTTCCAGTATAAATGTGTCTTCTATGACATTTGACTTTTGAAAGTATAACTTTGATTTAAAAAGAGAAAAGCTAACAAACAGATAAAGTGTCAAGCTGTGATCTAAGCACTATACACTTATTAAAAATATAATCTTCCCAAAAAGCTTGTAATGCAAATGCTATTTTATTGCCATTTAAAATGCCACACAGAGATTAAATAACTTATTCAAACAGCTAGAAAGGGATACAGCCAAGATTTGACTCAATAAAATTCCATGAAAAATATTCTTAAAATACTGTCACAATATATGTTCAACTATCCTATTAGGAAGTGAAAATTAATTTTTAAATTTACTAGTTAATAAACATAACATGTTTTAAACAAAAGGTTACTCAAAATGCTATGAGCTTTCAGTGGAATAATGCCTGCCTGGCAAGCTCGTGAGGTGGTGAGTTTGATCCCAGTACCAAAAAACAAAAAAAAAATAAAACACAAGTGCTATGAGCTTTAATCAAAAACATACTTCACTATAATACTGAATAAAATTCTATATATCTTTAAAAACTTATATTGTTTAAAACAAAATACGGAGTTCCTTCATTTAAGTTTTATACTGCTATATTATTTCCCATCTGCTTTTCACTAACAATTGTCCCATAATATACTCATTTTTATTTTATGTCACTATTTTTTGGGGAAAAAAGTTTCATATAAAATTTAACCTTACTTGGGGGCTGGGGATTTAGCTCAGCAGCATAAGCACCTGCCTTGCAAGCAGGCGGTTGTGAGTTCAATTCCCGGTACCGGTTTAAAAAAAAAAAAAAATTACACAAAATTTAACCTTACTCATAAATAAAGAATAGTAAGCAACAAGGAATGTATTTGTCATCACAATTAATAGTAAGACTAGTATTCCTAAAGATACATTCACATTAAAAAATAGCAATTTTTAAAGGGCACTATGTACAGACAACATACAGAAAAACAATTCCATTATCAGTACAAATAAAGACTACTGAACTGGGAAAGAGATCTGCAGACCGTGCCCTACCTTCTGGCAACACACATAAAAAATACTGTCAGCCACACTGACCACACCGCAGTGAGGCAGCAGGTTTAGTCACTCCTGCTGAGAGCACGAACTGGCACAGACTTTCTTCTAGAAAGGAGTTTGATAAAAATGTGTGAAGATACTTTACTACTAATCTAGTGAAGAGAATAAATTACAGTGCTACATTAGTATACAGAAGAGCAAAATATGAGAACCAATTTAAGTGCTTAAAACAGAAGTAGGAGAGGAAGGATGCTTACATACAGTGTGACATGCTAAGTGAAATGAACGTGAAGGATGTTTTATTAAGACAAAAATTATAACAATTTAAAAACATAGTATGTATTTATAGATGGATTTCAATTATGTGACAAACCTGTGGATTTGAAGGGAAGTATATAAAACAAACATTAGCCACGTTATGATTTTTCTTTGAAATTATTTTGATTTTCCAAATTATCTTCAATAAGTATGAAATGATTTTACAGTAGAAGAGGAAAAGTCTGGCTGTGTGTAATGTTATTTCACGTACCTTGGTGGCTGTTACCGATGCAGCCAAGTTTGAAGTTTTGGAAGAAGAACCATTAGAACTTGTGGGTGGGGTCTGAGCCACAACAGATTTACTGTTTGTACTATTTGCTCCATTAGCAGCACTGGCAGAGTGGGAGAAAGTAAATTTGAAGCCACCAGAAGATGTCCTTTTGGGGAGGTTTTCCTTGTCTTCACTTTCTTTTGCTACAGCAAAAGTGAAAATTTGAACCGCTATCAATTAAGTACTGCTAAATCAAACCATCTGAAAGACCGATAATTTAAAAATTAAAAGGATTACTTTTGCTTTCTAAGAGCTAAAGAGTATAGGATGTGTATTGTGATACTTCTTTATTAGATAGAATACTAGAAATCTACATATTAGAAAGAACCAAAAAAAAAAAAAAAACCCCAAAAAAACCAAACCTCAAGAATCATGTAGCAAAATCAGGCATCCTGTGCCACAGTTTCACAGTGCTGCACCTAGTATTTACTTGTAAAGATTCATTAGCTGTCTGCCTCCTCCTTTCACTCTCTCTATTCACTGCTCTTCACCTCTTTACCCTTGATAACCTAATGACTTCTCCCACAAGTTAGTATTTCAAGCGTCTGAAGACAACAGTCAAGTCTAGCTGTCTCTTATTTCCTCAATAGTCCACATTCCTTTATATGCTGCTTTTGTGGCTTAAGTGTGCAGTCCCTTTACTATCTGGTTACTTCTAATTTTGTGTACGATTCCCAAAGGCACAGCTTAACACTGGATACAGTACTTCAAATATGGCTTTATTGCTTCTTTTGGCATTAGTGAGTCGAGTACCTATAATGACTAACAAAAGAAGAATTTGTCTACAAAAAGGTTCCTATTCTTTAGGACGTTTTAATAGGCTATTTGCTCCTCTAGGGTAAAATAAATAAAGGTATTAGATAGTGGGAGAGTAAAACTGGCAACAGCTTCAAGGAGAAAGTAATAAATCAATAAAATGATTTTCTACTAACTGCTTTTCGGAAATGTCACATTTACAGCAAGTTCAGGAAATGCTTGCCTTTTAACATGTGAGTTCTGATTAAACATTTAAGCAATTAAAAGATACTAGTAAGATCCTAGTTTTAAAAAACAAGTTAAACATATATGAAACCCAGGAGAAAGTTTAACATTTTCTCTTAATTATTATATTTCTATGCAACTTCTAGAACTGTAAAATTTCAAAGAATAAAGTTACTTCTTTGAGTTCAGTTTTCTCAGCTGTGAAAGATCAAGGTGGAGGACTCTAGCAGGTTTTTATGGATTTATACAGTCCCTGTTATTCACTAGTAATAGAAATCTCCAATGGTTAGAAACAGAAAATGAATGCCATCAAAAAATGGCAAGATTCAAGGAAAACATTTTAAACAGCATCTAAAAAAGCAACTGAATAATTTTTGTGCTAAATTAAGGGAAGGCATAATACAATATTTGGAATGTTAATACCTTTCTTAGTCTCCATAAATTTTTCGTAACTATCTGGAAAATCATCTTCTGTCTTAGATTTTTCAACTGGTGTCACAGCTGCTTTTCCTTCCTCCTCTTCATCTTCATTAAACCACATTTCTTCATCCTCTTCCAAGGCTTTTGCATCTCTGCGAAATCTGTTACTGCGCAATATAGATGGTACACTGTAAGAAATATATCACAAATACTGAGTAACAATTTAAAGTTTATTACCATATTAAATTTGACAGGAAAAAATGTATAACCAAGAGGAATAGAAATGATTTTAATTTCATATAAATTGCATCTAAAGCACCTCAAGTATGATACAAGACACAGAGAACTCTCTAAAATATTTTGCATGTAATAAACACTAAACACTCATCTTGAGTTATCATACAAAGCAATAATTTATCCTATAATGCATCTAGGGTCTGGAGGACAGCCTACCCGTAACTACAGCTATCTAGTGAGAGAGAGAAAATTCGTCTATAAACTTCACAGATAATATCTAAAGGATGTAAACAATTTTGTATAAATGCAATGTACTTAAAAATACCTGTTTAGTTTCTGACTTTGTCTGTCTCTTTCTTGCTCATATTTAGTCTTCAATCCTTTGAATGTCTGAACATATTCAATCGATTCAAGTGCTTTATAAAAATTTTCAACTATATGTGCAGTAAGAGACTTGATATCTTCCTGTATAAGCACAAAATTTACATTTCAAATACAATACAATGCTTGTGGAGAAAAATAAAATGGTTTTTTCTTATAGTTTCAAAGCTAATCAAAAATTTTTTCAAAATTACCTTCCAAAACTAAATGTCTCGGTTTCTTTATACATGAGACAGGACTCCACAGAAAACTTGGAAAAAAGAACAATGCACTGGAGCTCTTTGTAGGGACCATAAAGAACATTCAAGCAGCAAACAGATTCAGTTTATGCCTATTATTTGCATTTATAAAGCACTTTACAATTTAAATAGCACTTTCACATACTATTTCATTTTATTTTCACAATTCTATGAAGTAAATTTTATTATACTCATTTACAAAAGAACAAAATTGAGGTTCTGAGGTTGGATGGTTTCATCAAGAGCACACAACTTTTTAGAAGACAGATATTAAAATAATTTTGAACAAACAGGGGCCTTTCTGTTTAACCGCCATCAAAATGGAGTCTTATCTAAATAAATAATATGGTTAGATTCCTCTGACATTACATACACAGATCTAATAAACTATCTGGAATGCCATTTTTCTACTCCTGCATTTCTACTGTAGAAGGAACACAAAGTTAAGTTTTCCATTCAGTGCATTCAACTTATCAAAGTCATTTTTAGAAAACATTCAATCATGGAACCAGGGATGGGGTTCTGAACCATGTATTTTATTTTGTCTAGTATAAAGTTTCGCACCAGTTTTTTAAAGGAAAAAAGTTCTAATTCATTGGAACAATATACTGTTAGCTTGGATTCAGATATCTAGTCACATAATCATGTTCCTTCTTTTCTAAAGGCAAATACTATACTTCTATCCTCTTCATCCTTTCAAAAACCATATTCTTGGCAAGTACAAAAATAATCTATCTAGTGAGACAAACAATCTTTATATGAGAACAGTGAATCATCAGTAGAAATCTGATTTATAGAAAAATTCTCCTTCCAAAACTAGAGAATTTCTAGTTTTGACTTCACGTTCTTTCCAACTATGTAATCGTTTCCTTGGTGGAATGAATTCTACATGTATATGTGCAGGATGATAAATTTACTGTAATAGTCCTATAGTTACCTGTCTTACCCTAGTTATTCACATCAGGTCTCTTCAGATATTTTACGACAACTAAACTAGGATTCAACTTCAAGTGCTTACTGTATGAATGCCTGCAAATAGCATCCAGGTCAATGAATCAATCACTTCAGGTATCTTCATCTTCTCAACTGCGATACTAAGTTATAGTAGTCCATGAAACATGCTGATCTCTTCAACTTTAAATTTCAGGAATTCATCCTACCTTTCATGTATGCTATATTAATGATAATGATCACTGAAGAAATTATTTTTCAGTTTCTCTATTCATTTTTATCACTACTCCTACAACGAACTACCTTTTTAAAAGAGATCACACAAATTGCATGACTACTCAAGACATTCACACATGTTAAACATGACAGTGAAACACGAACTGAGAGATGAACTGAGAAAACTGAATAAACATGGTTTAAAAAACTTCACACTGCAAAATTTTGGACTGAGGCTGTGACTCGGTGTTACAGCACTTGTCTAGCAAGCATGAGAAGCTGGATTTGACCTCTAGCACTAAAACAAACAACAAAATAACAAAAATAGAAAATGCATCACTGCACTGTAACACTGTGACAAATAATTAAAAAAGTAACTGAATTTTTAAAAAAATTCTGTTTATTAGAAATAGATTGTATGGCACAGAATAAATTTTTGGAGAATAAGAATTAAGAAATCATTTTCCTTAAATAAAATTATTTTACTTTTACATACACTTACATATGTAGTTCTTTCATATGTAGTTACTGTAATAGACTTACCACTCTTATGAATTCAAACAACTCAATAACTGCTGAATTCAACAGATTGTACCGAGTCCCATTATCCAGAAGAGCATTAATAACTGGCTCAAAAAGATTTCCCTTGGTGATATAACGATTGTAAAATTCATCTTTAAGGCCAATTATCCGCCTCATAAAACGAAGAGCACCTAATTAAAAATACAGAAGAGCTGATATTAATAAAAGCAACACATTTGTTCTTCTCAAATATAAAGTAAAATTGTGCACTAAAAAAAATTGTGCTTTGAAAAATATAGTTTGGAAAGATAGCTTAAAACCTGTATAACTCTGTGCTAACAACAACAGAAAAAAAAGAACTGTTATTGTGAGACAAATAAACTTCCAAGGTGGTAAGCTCTATGGAAAAGACGGGAAAAATTATACAAGACCCACAGAATACAATTTCTGGTAACAGAGCAGAGTCGATGGATGCAATAAATGCAGCTCAGAATCAGTGGAGACGCAGCATGGGCATAGAAATCCAGTAGGCATCCAGGAGATTAAGGCTGCCTTGCCTCTCTGGCTTTGGAAGCTGGTAGTTCAAAATTCTGAAAATATTGTCAAAGGGGCTGCTAGTAACATGGGAGATTTTGAACTTTTTTCTATTTTTTTGGAGACAGAATCTCACAATGCAGTTGGCTTTTGTTGTTCTGTTTTGTGAGGGGTCTTACTGCGTAGCTCAAGCTAGCCTTCAATTTGCCATGTAGCCTATGCAGGCTTTGAACTTGTGATTTTACTGCCTCACGCTTCTGAGGGTTGAGACTACAGGGATGTGGCACAGTGTTACAATGGGGTTGTAATTCTTATGTTTTGTTGCCAAGTGTCTCTGATTTGAATTCTGTTTATCTTATGTTAAATAGCTATCCATTGATAGTTCAAGCTGCCCAATGGAACAGTCAAACGCATTGTACTACCTGTGGACCAAGCCTGGGGAATGTGGCACTATTATACCTTGCCTTAGTATGGAAATCATTTGTGAACCACATTTCTTTTGCATTACAATGACATCTGTTGTTCACCAATTCTGTTTTGACTTGGGAAAATATACACTGGTAGATCCAGGCTCTATTTATAAAAACCAAACCAAACCTAACCAAAACAGGGGTGAGGTATGGCTCAGTAGTAGAGCTTGTCTAGCACAGGTGTGAGTCCCAGCACCCTGGGCAAAGGGGTTCTCCAGCTAAACAAATTTAGCAATATTTTACTACTAAAATTCTTAGGGAACACAAAGAACCAAAACTTCGGTCCTTTAGTTTTATATCTATTTACCCTTAACTTGTCACACTTCCCCTTAATTTAGTCTACAAACACCATTAGCTAAGGCTACTGATTTTATATGCTGGTCTCTCATTTCAGCCCTCTATTTAAGGATGGAAGAATTTAGACCTGTTAGGATAGGTACTAAATACTGTCTGAGAATAAAAGAGAAATAGGCCATATAAAGTAAAAACGTACGTTAACTGGGACACCAAACAAGTGTGGGGAGAAGTGCTAGGCTTACAATATCACTGCTTTCTTTGTGGTAGAGCAAGAAACAGTTTACTTAGGATTAGAACAACTGAAGCTCTGACAAAGGTATGAATAAAAAGTCAGTAATATAATGCTGGGAAATAAACTGATACGGACACAAAGCTATGATTATAACAACAATGTTTATAATAATGGGAATCCTAAAAGAATATAAATATTTAAATAATGGAAATCCATTCCGCTAGGTTATATCCATATTAATAGGATTATACTATAACCATCAAAAAGGACTCTATAAAAAAAGAGAACAAGACCTAAAGGAGATCTATCCTTTCAATATACAATGTTTTTAAGTTTTTTTGTAGAACAAATGTCTAAGAAAACCAAGAAAATTATGAAAAGGGAAGAGATTAGTATACATTACACTTTACTACAGAAATATATCGTAAGATGTAAGAATAAACATTCTGCCAGGCATGACTGCACATGTCTATAGTCCTAACTACTCTGGAGGCTGAAGGAAGAGGATCACAAATTTGAGTCCAGCCTGGAAAACTCGGAGAGACCCCATCTCAAAATGAAAATTAAAAGGACTCGCGGTGTAGGTCAGTGTAAACGTCTTGGTTTAATCTCTAGTATGCTCTGAAACAAATATAAAGACACAAACATTGTCACTGTTTCATTTGCTGAGATGAAAGATCAGGTAGCCCAGAAATAAGATACATGTATATGTATTAACTTACTGTATAAGTGATGTTTTAATTTTGTGTGAAAATATGGTTTATTTAATGAGGCTGTTAGCACAGTTGGGTAGCTAAAAAGATAAAAGTAGATTATCACTTCAAACCATATCCAAACACAGATTTTGGTCATACTTTATATATAAATATAAGCTGGTGATTAAATAGAAAAAAAAAAGACTGAAGAGAATATTTGTATCATCTAAGCCATCTATGTCCTAAGACAAAACACCTAAAAGCCATAAAAAGATAGCAAGACATATTTGTCATGAAGAATTTTTAAAGTTATATGAAAAACAATGCCGTAAATAAAGGCATGCACAGCTGTTTGCAGCCGCCACGAACTGCAGCCCTGCCATGCCACCCTGCCTTGGAGTCAACTGAGTATGGACTGAAAGCTCCAAAATCTCTAAGAAATAAACCTTTCCTTTCCCAACTTTAAAAAAAATACATAAGTGAAGGCATGGACAAAAGGCTGAGACATTTCCCTTTAAAACATAAATTGTTAATATATCTAATATACAAAGATCTCTAAGAAAAAACCACAAGCAATTCACAATACATAAAAACGCAAATTACAGCAAACTATGAAAAGATGGTATCAAAGAAAATGCAAATTAGAAAGCAAATGGAATACCACATTTTCCAGCATCAGATTTATAGCATTTATTTAAAAGTTCTGATAGAGGAGAAATTCTATCTTCAAAAAAATGGTGGTGATGCGTGTGTATACTGGGGTGGGGTGAGGATGTAACTTAGTACAAAGGATCTGGGCTCATTCCTCAGTACTGGGAAAACAAAAATCAAAAAAGAAAAGAAAAGAAAAGAGAAGAGGGGAGCAGAGGGGAGCAGAGGGGGCAGGGGGAGAGGAAGAGGGGGAAGAGGGGGGAGGAAAGAGAAAAAAGAAAAGGGAGGTGGGAGGGAAAAGGAAACGTACCCACAAGAAACTGCTGGGAGAAGGTCAAGTATTTCAAGCTTTTGGAAGAGTCATCTGGCAGTTATATTTTAAAATTTAAAAGGATACACTAAAATATATAAAATAGGAATCCATCTTATCAAAATAAATAAGTATGAAAAGATTAGTACACTGGGCTAGTTGCCACAGTATAATTTGGAGTGGCAAAAAAGTAACAATTCTGCAACTTATCACTGGACAATGGTGCAACAATCTGTGTAGAGTTATGTGATAAAGTTACCAAATGATGATTCACTGAAGCTGATGGAAAAGACACCAGGGCTGGTTTTATTAGTGAAATGTCACTATACATGCATAGTACTGTGCTACAACAAAACATAAGCTAACTGAATCTAAATGTGAGCAATGAATGGGGAACCATTATTAAAAAAAAAAAAACAAAACAAAAACCCAAACCAACAACAGGCATTATCACAAGCATTTCATATAATAGCATACACTTCTAGATAAATACTGTAACTTCCAAATATGTTGCTTTAACTTTTAACTCTAAAAAATATTTCTTGTTGACACAAGGTTTTATTATATAATCCAGGCAGGCCTGGACTTAGTATGTATGTAACCCAGTCTGGCCTCTTACTCATTAGCCTTTTGCATCAGCCTCCTGAGTGCAGAAATTATAGGCATGTGACATCATGCCCTCCCCTCAAAAATGTTTCTTAAAACACCTTGCAATCTTGTTTATTAAACTGTTACTTACACAAAGCCAGGAAAGTGTGCTTGGAATTCATCAAGACCAAGACTCTTCTTAGTAAGTCCTTGTTCATAATATAGTTTTTTATGTGGTAAGTGTGATGTTCCACACAAAATGTGAGTAACTCTAAAATTAAGGCAAGTAGCTGTGCTGTTTGATAATTATCTACAAAAGAAAGTCATCTCATGAAAACATTGTAGCACATCTAAACAGAATAAATAAAATTTATCCTATATGTTAGAGCAAAAGTTCTACTATATTTCCTCCATTTTCACATCAGTTAAAAAGGCCATATTCTACATTTTGATTAGGAAGGCTGGAAGCATTATCAATTTTACCAATGAAGTATTTTTTAACGCTTTTGTGTAAAAAAAGTGTTACGAAAAGACTCAGTACGATAGATATAACAAAATGGTAAATGTTTCCTTAGTAATAGTGTTTCTTTAGACAAGTGTTCTCAATATTAATGAATCTATAAAGGGGCCCACAATACATAAACACCTCAAATTTTTTCTTGAAGTAGGTCATGCAAATTTCTTAAAAAAATTCATATGGTTTCTTTTAACACATTTCTTGGAGGGAATATTTTGAGTATTTGAAAAGCAAGTGGAAATAAGACACTGAGATTTTTCAACGATTTTAAAAACAGCAACTAATTAATTCACAAAGTAGGACAACAGACTGCAGGTTATAGATGATAACCATCAGACTATCATAAAGTATAGTTTCTAAATAGTTTTAGTTTATAAATTTAAAAATAAATCTTCAAAACCAAGGTTATAAAACAACTGCTAATTTATAGAAAAAAAAACAAAAACAAATTCTGGGGAAAAAAGCAAGCCTATTCTTGGATTTTGTTGTTATTTTGAAAATAACGTTTACTTAGCCTTGTATAAGGCTTGTATAGTCGCATTGTATTTTGAGAAAAGGCTTGTACTGTACATTTGTTCAAAAATATGAATCTCTACTTACCAGGACAAATTGTGTTGTTTTTGTTAGACCCAACAAATTTATCTAAGAATGACAACAAAAAAATCAAAGTAAAATACTTTAGTAACATTTAATGTTTACCTAGTACTTAATAATATATAATACCCATCTTTAATTATATTTTTCTTTTAGCCTCATACTGACCATTAAAAGTGGATTGTTTTAAACTGGGCATTGTGTATTGCCTGTAATCCCAGCACTTGGGACTGAGGCAGGAGGATTCCTATGAGTTTAAGGCCAGTCTGAATCACCAAGCTAGACTGTCTCAAAAAAACTAAGGGCGAAAAAAACCAAAAAACAAAGAATAACAATAACAAAACTAAAGAACTAGTTGCTTTGGTCTAATATTACACACTCATTTCCAATCTTTTATAGAACTGGGTATAGATGTGGAATTATTAAAGGACAATATAATGAGAGTACTCTGATTTAAAAAGTGAGATCACAACCAGAGATAAGACTGATTAATCTTTTATCTTCTATTCAACATTAAAAAATTGAGATGTCTGATTTATATATTTTAAAATGGAAAATGAGAATTTTGAAAATTTCAGAATAACAAAACTCAATCATGTTTATGCTTTTATTTTTTAAAATAAAGGATGTAGGATATTTTCTATCCTAGAGTCATACAAACATATTTGTACGGGAAATGTAGGAATACATAATTGATCATTATTATTATTATTATGGTACTTGGGATGAAATCTTATGGCAATCTACCACTGAGCTACATCCCTAACCTTTTCATGTTTTGAGACATGTTCTTGGCTAAGTTTCCCAAGCTGGCCTCAAACTTGTGATCTCCTTGCTTCAGCCTCCCAAGTAGCTATGATTACAGGCATATGCATGAACCAAGTTTGAGGATTATTTTTAATAACAAAAATTTCGAAATGTCTGTATCAGACGGAAAATGGTTAAATTACAGCATACTCAAAGATAATACTATGAAAGAATTAGTAAGAATTCTGAGCTATCATTGGGAACAGATCTCAAAAACAGCACTGGATAGAAGGAAAAATACAAAGTAATATTATAACAGAAGTAAATTTATCAAATCTGAATATATAAAAAATAAAAATAGAAAAAATACATTATAAATATTCTAATAACATAACTATAAACACATATAGAAGTGGTAAACTCCAAACTCAGCATATTTTGAGTAATGGGGGAGTGGGGATAAGCTAGGAATGATAATCTAAAGATGTATACAAATACTTCAACTATTTTGTTTATTTAAAAAAATCTGAAAAAAAGTATGACAAGTTAGTTTTGATAAAGCCAACTGGGAATATAAGACTCTGTGTTATATTGTTACTTGTATGTTTCTGTATGCTGAAGTGGTTTGAAATGCACATTACACATTCATAATTTAATTTACATAAATGTAATCATTCTGCAATAAAATCTGGGATGTGGTTTGGTACCCATTCAACTTTATTTTAGGGTACTGGGGATTCAATCCAAGGTCTTCAAGCTAAGCTACACCCCCAGTTCTCTTTATTTTTGAGGCAGGGTCTTGCCTAACTGCCTAGATTGGGTTTGAGCTTGAAATTTTCCTGTCTCAGTCTTCCATGGTGCTGGGATTACAGGCATGTCCCACCAAGCCTGGTTTCAACTTTGTATTTCTGAGACTTGCTTAAATGATGAAATCCATTTTAAATATTTTAACTGCTATATATCCCTTTTCTATTATATCAATATACCATCCTTTATTCATTTGCCTACCATAAATAATACAGTAACGTTCTTATACCTTTCATGCATATACACACACAATTCCCAGGTATAAAATCAGGAAGATATTAATGATATTATATAGAGTGTGACTGTGTTACAACTTTATTAATTTTTAAACACTACCTTGCCTTTTGTTTGATTACCAACATTTTCAGATAGTAACTAACGCTTTAGGATGCTCTGACATTCTGGTTTCACTAATTTTCTTGTATACAAAGTATGATCTGAAAATACAGCGAATGTTTAAATTAAAAAAATTTTACAGTAAAACAACACTGCCATTAATCTCCCTCAAAGTATTCCCGTTTCAGACACACTTATCTCATTGTTCTTGCTACTTTCCAAAGCAGTTCTGAAAGTCCACTTTAGTCAGTATCTTTAGTTGTGTTTGGGTGGCTGCCTCAACATCCTGCATCAATTTGAAGCTTTAGCTTTCATGGTCATTTTGACTTTGGGGAAGAGCCAGAAGTCCTGTAATACCAGATTTAGTGAGTAACATGGATGAAGCATACCGTAATGTTTTTATGAGCCTGTCTTCCCACTGGATGGCACTCCATGGTAACAGTCATTTGCCTTATAAAAACACTCACAAAAGACTTGCAGGTTTGCTTCAGAGAAAGTGGCATAAATGGTAAGTGTGTTTGAAACAGGGAATTTCTGAGGGGGAATTAATGGCAATGTGTATTTTGTTGTAATAAATTGTAATTTATTTGTAATTTTAATTGTAATAAAATTGTGATTTTATTGTAATAAACTGCTTTATATTTAAACATTAACCATATTTTTCAATCACCCCTTGTGCTTATCAAGTCTTTTGTTGAAAGCTAGTATGGATTATAAAATGATAATGTAAATATTACACACTGATGAAATTTAAGAGAACTGGAATATATGCTAAGTTTAATATAGTAGAAATCCACTAGAAAATTGCTCCAAATTAGATACACACAAGTTTCAATACCTGGAGGAATAAACTCAGAAACACAGTAACAGACACTTCAAAAATATCTTTAGATTTCTAGTTCACTTTTATCAACTGAAGCCACTATTTGCATCTTATAAATGTGAATGTAATTTATGCAACCAAGTATGGAAATGCAATAAAAATTATATACTAAAAAAAATATAAACAACCTTGTTCCTATATGTCATAAGACTAAACATTTATACAGTAAGTTAAAATATTTAAGCAAGCAGGTCTTGGTGGTACAAACGTGTAATCCCAACTATTTGAGGGGGCAGGTCTGAATCCAAGTTCAAAGAAAACCTGGGCAAGTTAAATGAGATCTTGTTTCAAAATAAATTAAGGGCTGAAGATGTAGCTCAGTACTCCCTCAGTTCAATGTCCATCATTACTAAATGTTAAAAAAAAAAGAAAATGTTTACAACGCTTATGCTTTGTTTTGCTTTATAAAATCAGTATCAACTTTAGTCAGATTTTTGACTGATCCAACTTCTGATCCTGATGCAGAGAAAAAAATGGGCTTTTACTGGATTCCTCTGCCAAACTGTTCTCCAAGAAGACGGTTTCCTTAGATTTCTAATGAAGGCAACCGCTGCTCCAGCTGAGCACAACCTCCTGTGCTGAAGATCCTGGCTCGTCTGCCTGTACTTTTCTATATCTCTCTTGTACTACTTTTCAATAGTAAATTCTATCGGACGAAACAACAGTCTATTAGTTTTAATACTTATTTAGTCCTTTTTAAAAAACAGAAATTAGAAGATAAAAATTGAACCTACCCTTTTCATATTTGTCTTCCGAAGTATTGGTCAAAAGTGGTGCTGTGAGGACATGCATACAATGATTGTAGAAGAAATTTAGAAACTCACTTTTTTCAGTTTTCTGAAACATATAATTTTGAAAAATTATTACCTTGGTAATTAAAAACCACTAAGAGCAGTGCAGGCTACACATGAACAATAAATATTTTAAGATTCTATGAAAGGATTCCAAATTGGTACTATTCACTTCAATCTTACACTTATAGCATGAAAATCAAAGCTATTTCATATTATATATATAATGAAATCAAGAAAAAGGATAGCACTATAAAAATTTTCCACAAAAATTTACTGCACATCTGAAAATCTTGAGATTAGATTTTAAGAGTTCTTACCATAAATAAATGATTAATAAAAAACACAAATAAAACCCCAAACAATTGAATTAGAACATGAGCTATCCACTGCTAATCACTTGTTTTATTAGTTGATGTCTTTCCAGTACAACCAAAAACTGTATAAAACTATTATCTTTAAAAGTAAAAAGAACATTTAAATATTTTCCTGAAAAAAAATTTAGTAAAGAAACAAACACAAAAATTCCCCAAAAAACCAAGTGATACGATTAACTGCTTAGAATTTAGAATCCTGTATTTCACCACCTATGTGAATTTTAAAAACTACTGAATCAAATATCAAGACATGAGATAAAAAGAAGAAATCTAGATCTATTCATTACATTTAAAAAGTTTATGCTTTCACAAACTGTTTTTGGATCATCATTGGATTAATCAACTCTATGTTGCGCTGAGTTTGCCAATGGGAATGCCCAGGAACATCCTTAGAATCCATTTTGTTGATTGTTGTTGAAGAAAAGGGAACTATTTCAGAATATTTAATAATTATATAAACACAATCAAATGTTTTCCAATGTGGCTGTCCTGTTTTTTACAGTCCTGCTGTGTACTATTCTCTTTGTGACAGTAAATTTCTGCCTCTGGGTTCTAGTTTGACATTAAATTTATTAGCATTGTTTTGTAGTCTCACTTGAGAGTGAAAACTTTACATGGTTTACTGCCAGTTTTGTGCTTACTTTTCAGATTTGTACTATAAGTTAATAATAAAAATGAAGTATTTTAGAAAAATAAATTTAAAACTTTACAATTTAGAAAAAACACCTTTTATGTTTTTGCCACTAAGTTTTACATAACTGGGGCCATACATTTCTAATAATTTAAAAATGATGGATGTGCTTTCTAATTAAGTGGGAATTTCATTAAGGAAAATATTCTTATATACTTAGGTAACCATTATTTATATTTTTGAATACTTTCTGAAATGCTTTTTTATACCTTAGGTAGTTACAATCCTTCAGTAATAATTCAACTTTTTCTTTTCTTATTATGATAAAGTCATATTAATATAAACTTTACCATCTTATCACTTTAAAATATACAGTTCAGTAATGTCACATACATCTACATTTTTGTGAACTTTTAAAAAGTTAGCATTAAGTCGTCAGGACTATACATGGTATTCCTATCATTATATTAAGATTTTAATACGTTACAATATTGCACTTGTTACAAATGAAACTGCTACAAGAAGACCACTGTTGGTTGAATATTAAGTATATGAATACTTATTGAAGTATGTTTTTTCACCGAAAATTTTACTACTAAAGCAGACAAAAACATAATCTTGGGGCAATTTCTTACATTAGTTGTAGCCAGCATGTTCTCAGGATCAATTAGAGTACGAAGAAGTCCCATTAACTGAACTGCACCACCTAGCTCAGGATCAGTGTCACAGATCATCTGTTCAATTACTACATTAATAAGAAGGATATCCTGCAAGATAACACGTTCCATTAGACTAAAACTGCACATAAGACAAATATGCCAACCGAAGAAAAAAAAAAGAATAAAAAGAAAAAAACAGAATGAAAGGGTTTATTTAAAACATTTTCCTTCTGAGTGTTTCTCAAAGTCCTAGAAACAAAGAAAGAGCAGAATGCCATAGTTTTAAGACAAGAGGAAAACAAGCATCTTCTAGAAGTTCTTGTTCACTGGAGGTTCCAACACATTCTTACTCTAGGTTTCATCCTCAGGCATAATTTTGTTGTTGGCTAAACAAGTATGATGACGTATCATATAACTGAAAAACATAGATTTTTAGCTTCTAACAAAAAAGACATAGATTTTGACCTTAAAACAAAAAAGAATAAGCCAGGTATGGTGGCTCACACCTGTAATCCCAGCACTCAGGAAGCTGAGGCAGGAGGATTGTTCCAAGTTCGAGACCAGTCTGGGCTATAAAGTGAGCGCAAGGCCAGCCTGAACTGCATAGTGAGACCCTGTCTCAAAAAGAAAAAAAGAAAGAAAGAAAGACAGAAAGAAAAAAGAATACATATATAAATACATAAAAACCTTTCCTAGTCTCTCCCCCAAAGAAGTTGTAAGGGTACAACTCTTCTTAGATAAGCAAGGGGATACTATATTAATCTCTGATGTCAAGTACATTTACTGTTACATTAGTAAAGGGCTTCAGTATTTTTTTTTTTTTTTGTCTCTTTCTTTTTTACCGGTACCAGGGATCGAACTCACGACTGCCTGCTTACAAGGCAGGGGCTTATGTCGCTGAGCTAAATCCCCAGCCCCAAGGGCTTCAGTTTTAATATAAAGGAACTATGAAGCAGTTTGCAGTTACAAACTTTCTTTGCATTTAAAAAAAAAATTTTATTTAAAGAAAGACTAAACAAAACAGATAATGGGTAGAAATCATACATACATACTTTCAAAGAAGAAAATAAACAGGAAGAAATCACTAGTTGATGATTACAGATTGTCCTCTTACAAACAGTCATTCAACACACCAAAGTGGAGCATATAAAGTAGGGATTGAAACAGTGAGACTGCAACCAGTTGTGTTCAAGTATCCAACAAAAACTTAGAAATATGGTTATTAATCCTATACACTTAAACATACATGCAGTTATCCATATCTTCAATTATGCTGAGATTGAACAAACCCAAGCAGGCTAATATCACTCTGAACAAAGAATAATACTATTGCTGGGTTTCACATTATGACACTCCAGGATCAGCACTGGGTTCTGTAGTGTCTCTTTCTCTTCAAAGTATCTGCTCATTTCCTCATGTGTCAAAAGATCAGTTCTCACAAACTGCCTATAGATTCTACACAGGCATGAGTTTTAACATGTATCTCTATAATTTCTATATTAGAGGGAGAAACAAAACAAAGCAAAACAAAACATATTCCTACAAACACATGAAACAAAAAAGACATATAAGACCGTTGTACAAGGAGCTCCACCATAGTTCCTGTGTTGTCTCTTGTTATCTTCAATAGAACTGGCTATATCATCAGACATAGTATAATTGAATATATCAGTACATAACAGTATTAATAAAAAAGAACTTTGTGTATAGTATAAAACTTCAAAAGCAGGCAGTTATCAAACCAGAATGTGTATCGTAGAGTCTTGTCATCTTCAGTGTAGTTGCCCACACTCTCAGACTTGACACCATCAATCATACCAGTTTTGAATAAAATCTGTCTATACCAAAGAGGAATCATACAAACCAGATTCAACTAGATCAGTCATGACAAAACAGTGTAAGTCATACAGCGCTCCAGATTAAGACAACAGGAAATTAAAGATGATTACTGTGCTATATCCTGATGTTTTTGAGATAGCTGCCTGTGCTCTCAAATCTAAAGCAAGTAGACAAACTGAGAAAAAATAAAATCTATCAAAAAAAAAATCTATCTAAGTTAAGATTCTCCCTCCTCTTTCACTTCCCCAGGATGCACTGTGCATTTTTAGGTCTCACCAACCCTTAGTTTTAAATTGGGGGAGGGGGGAGCAACCTATTTACCTAAGTGGTTCCGAACCTTGTCTCTCCTGCACTTGATCTCTAATTGTATTCCTTTACCTATTAAAGCCTGTCTTTCCAACCTGTCCATAAATACTGGTCTAGTTGCCCCTATTACTTTCTGGTTCTCTGTCACATAGAGCATTGTTTCCTTGTATTTGATTTTCAGTCCATGTACTCTTTCTCATGTTAATTATATTTCCTATAAATAGCATTTCGGTAGACCCTGCCCCCTGATCTACTCCATGTGTAGTTCTTTTTTTTTTTAATTTAGTGTATCAAGGCCATCTAAATTAGAGATTATAACCAACCTTCTTTGCCTCATTTCTGTTATGCTCTTTTTTGCCATCAGTTGTCTGCTTATCTCCTTCACTCTGTTTTCTAGTCCATTCTTTGAGGCCTCTCTGCACTGTTTCCTGAAATCTGAGTACTTTTCTCTCTGTCTAGAATGCCCTGCAGTATTCTCTGTAGAGTCGATTGGTGGTTGCAAATTTCCCAAGTTCCTCTTTGTCTTGGAAGCATCTTATTTCTCCACTAATTTCTAGAGACAGTTTAGCAGGGTATATCAATCTGGGTTGGAGGTTATTTTCTTTCAGGGCTTGGAATATTTCACTCCAGGTTCTTCTTGACTTGATGGTTTGTGTTGAGAAGTCTGCCGTTATTCTGATGGGCCTTCCTCTATAGGTGATCTGTTTCTTGTCTCTAACAGCTTTTAATATTCTGTTCATATATTGAATTTCTGGATCTTGATTATTATATGCCTGAGTGTAGCTCTGTTTTGGTTGTAGGTGGCTGGAGTTCTGTATGCCTCATACATCAGAATATCATTTCCTTTTCGTTTGTTTGGGAAGTTTTCCTTAATTATTTCTGTGAATAGCCTTGTAGTTCTTTTGTTTGTACCCCTGATTCTTCATTCACATTCTTTGTTCTCAAGTTGTAGATCCTCTTGTCTTTTAGCTTTTGTATTGTTATTGCTTGTTTCCTTGTTATTTTTTAAAAGTTTTTCCTTTCATAATCCCACATCGCAAAACTGTTCTTCAATTTGGATAATCCTTTTTTTTTTTTTTTTGTCTTTTTCCTTTTTATCGGTACCAGGGATCGATCTCACGACTGCCTGCTTGCAAGGCAGATGTTTAAGCCGCTGAGCTAAACCAGTTTGGATAATCTATCCTTAGTTTCTTTCAAGCAGATTTGCCATCTTTACATAGTTTTTAATTTGCTGGTAATCTCTTTGAATCTGCTTTATGTATTCTCTATTTTCTTTATAGTCTTCATGAAATGGTTTTCTCCTTTGTGTGAATTCCTCCCTTATTCTGTTTGTGTCTGCTTGAGGGGTGCTCACCATCTCTTTTATTAATCTTCTTATATCTTGCTTTACTTGGCTAAATATTGCACTTTTGAACTCGTCTATGAGGTCCCAAAGGTATCTCTTTATTTCCACTGGTGCCATGTCTGATATTGCATGTTTGCTGTTCTCATTCTCCTTTGTATTTACCTGTCCTGGGTCAGTGTTCTCAGGGTTGGGACCTGGGGACTTTGTTGTTGCTTCCTCTTCCCATCTTTTTTGTTTCTTCCAGGAGGCCCCATTTTCTTTCTCTGTTGGTTACAATTCTTCTGAAACATTCTGGCTGGTGAACCTTCCCACTGCCCTATGCTAGGGAGTTGCAAACAGGGGCAGCATATGCTGGCCCCTCCTCTCTGGAGCAGTCAAGCTGCTGAGGCCTGCACTGTATTGCTGTGTGCCGCCTCCTGTCCGGGTTAGTCAAACTTGTGGGGCTTCACTGCGTTAGTGTATACTGCCGTGGTAGGTAACTGATTTCAGATAGCCTATTGGGTTGCGTGACCCAGGCCTAGCTCACTCTACCAATCCCATTTGGGAAGGGAACAACTGACTGAAGTCACTGCTGCCCCTTGTACTTGCCAGTCCTGCCTAGTCCCAGAATGTCTTCCACCAGAGCCCCCCTTTCTGTGGAATGGCTCCACTCCCATCATTCACCACAGGTCAATGCACAGGCTCCCTGCCAGCTCAGCTCTCCATTCGGCTGGCCGACCCCCGACTAAGTGTGACTGCGCCTCCAGTGAGTCGAAGTGGTGGGACCTCAGACAGCTCGGCAAGTCGCCTGTTGCGGTGGGAGCACTGAACCTTTAGCTGTTCCAAAAATAACACCAGGATTGTATGTTTGACTGGTTCCTCTCACCTTAGTTTCTTCCTGGGATGAGAGAATTCATCTCCCTCTGTTTGGAGCTCCCCACGCTGTATTATGTTGAATTCTAAGTTGACTATCTCAGGGAACCTCTGTAGCTAGCTGTTATCAATCCGCTATCCCTGTCTGCAAGTCTTTTTCATTATTTTTTAAAAAATAGAAATCCTAACGATTATTGTAGGATTAAAAAATGTGCCACAGGAAAAACACATCAACATAGTACACCTGAGAACAAGGTCATCTATGACTTAATGTCAGGGACATGTTCTGAACACAGCATCCTTAGGCTATTTCTTTGCTGTGTAAATGACCCAGACTATATTTACATAAACTTAGATGGTAGGGCATACAATATACCCAGGCTATAATGGAAAAGAACAAAGAATCCAAAGCATGCCTGCCTTCCCATGAGCCAGTGCAGCCATGAGAAACGGGAAGAGAATCAAGAAGCCAATCCATACCTTCCCTCGAGCCAGCCTGCAAGTGGACTGGGACACAAGAGCAACCCCGCCCACCTTCATAAGCAACTGCTGATTCAAAGGAACTCAGGCTGAGATGATAGCAACTTTACTAAAATTAAAATAACTTAATGTTTGCATTGTTTGCCTAACTTTGCAGGCCCAAAACTGGTAGTCTGAGCATCTATTTGGAGGATAGCAATATGCATTATGGCAACTGAGGGGGATCTCCTTGTGTATTGTTTCTGAAATCCAATGTTTTGCTCCATTTTACTGTTTTATTCTTGTATCTGGTAACCTGAGCAACTATTTTGAAGGTAAGAATATGCAATATAACAACCATTGTTATATTACTATCACCTTGTTTTGCAAAATCTATTCTGCTGTTGTTTTTTGTTGTTGCTGTTATTTTGCTTCCATTGGGTTTTTTTTTTTTTTTGTTTGTTTGCTGACTGATTTTTCTATTCTCTTTAAAATAAAAATAAAATGGCACTAATTACACAAAGCATAATTAAATATTTAACACTAAATTTTAAAAATATAAAATACAGTACTTAAATTATAATTGTACACTTATTTTCACTTATAATTGTACATTTATTTATTTTGGGGTACCCGGAATTGAACTTATGACCTTGTGCTTGCCAGGCAGGCACTGTGCCACTAAGCTATATCTCTAGCCCTGCCCTTAAATTACTTTAAGATAAAAATTTTATTTCTGTAGTGGCAAGACACAAAACTGGTATCACTACTAAAACTTTCATTCCCAATTGAATAATAATGAACAAGTGAAAGCAAATTCTTAAGTTGTAACTGATAAAGGCTTAAGTTGTAACTGATAAACCTAAAAATCTTGAAAGGGATTAAAATTACATTAGACCTTCAAATTAAAAAAAATCATTATTTAAAAATCTGATCAGATTGTAATATATTCCACTACTGAAGTGGATGTTTTTCCTGTGGAACAAATTAATTGGTACATATTCTGAGTGGCCAAAGTCACAACTCATATTATTCCAAAATTAAGATTTCTCTCAAAAGTTTGTAAGCAGCACTCCAAAGGCAGTTCACATAGAATTGCAGCATTACTACTTACGTCATCACTTTGCTGGGCTTCTTGCATTACAAATTCTCGAACCATAGAGGGGCTAAATTCTACCAGATAAGAAAATATATCTGTAGCAGCTGATCTGACTTGCAAATCATCCATGCCCTGATAAAAGCAAAGGTAGATTAAAAACTAAGTTATTCTTGTATTCTTCTCTTCTTTCCCAAAACCATGCATTACTTCTCAAGCATGTGAATTAAGATGCTGACCTGTAATTAAAATACATAATCTCTCCATCCTTTGGTTCCTGTCTTTCCATAGATATTGTAATTTTGGGACAGGTGATTGATTTTTTTGGTAAAAAAAACATTAAAAAGAAACATTTGGAGATTGCTCAAAAATCTAAAACTACAAATTCCACTGGATCCAGCTTTTTGTCTTCTAGGTATATTCCCAAAAGAATTAAAGATATGCATATTCATATATACAGCAGCACAATTCATAATAGTTAAACTTTCGAAGTAGCCTATACATCTATCAACAGATGAATAGACAAAGAAAATGGAGTATTCAAACACAGTGAGGTACTACTCTGCGACAACAGAAAAACTTGAGTCATCTGTAGACAAGCAAATGTACCTTGAGGCCACAATGCTAAGTGAGATAAGTCAGACAATGAGGCTAAACATTGCATGGTTTCTTTTATACTAAAAACCAAAATTTGAAAGAACAGAGTAAAATACAGATAATAGGTAATAAGGAGACTTTTGCAAAAGTGAAGGCAACCAAAAGATGGAGGGAAAGGGAAAGAGGGGAAAAGGCTGAAAAAGAATTGTATGTTACATACATGTATTACCTCTCCATGAAGAATGCGGTCATTATGTATAGCAAATATGCCCTAATAAAAAAATAAACACTGAAAAAACCCCAAAACAATATGGAAGATTTCAAAATGACTAGAGTATCAAATTCCCAAAAGACAAAAAGTGATTAATGGCTAAAGAATCTGAAATGCTTATTATCTTGATTTGATTACTGTATTATATATGTGCATTCAATTACCATAATGTACTCCATGAAGATGCACAAATATTATACAATTTTTTTTAAAGAACTGCATATAGAATATTTACAATCAAAGTTAATCTCAAATTTCTAAAATGAAAAACTTATTTGAGGAGATGAAAATTTCTAGGCACTTCATAATCCAGTAATATACAGAATTACCTTGCCAGTGTAGTCAGCATCCCAAGGCACTGGCACAGACCTGAATCTGACTGATCTTTTAACCTGATGCCTTCCTTGTTTTATTGGTGAATAAACTGGACCAGAGGAACCAAGGACTTTGCTCGAGACCAACATGTGCCAGAAGCAGAATCGGCCATCCTTGTCTCCTGTTCCAAAACTGCTGGGGGTGTGTTGTCCACCTCAATTCTTTTAAAGTAAGCCATAGTTTAATCATAACTCTGGGCACGAGATTCCTAAACAAGCTATACTATTGTACTTTGAACCTAAGCCAGAGCACCTCAGAGACATTTGATAAGCTAGCAGAAAATTTTAATGTTAATTTATGTTATGGTAATAATGAAATTATAACTATTAATATAAGCTAACACTTAAAAAGTCATAGAATTTAAACATAAGAATAAGCACACAGCTAGTGGTGGTTACACATGTCTGTAATTCTAGCACCCTGAGAGGCAAAGGCCACAGGATAGCAGTTTAAGCCCAGCTTGGGCACTTAGTGACAGGCTTGGCTCAAAATTTTAAAAAGGGTTAGGAATGTAGCTCAGTGTGATGGCCCTTAGTTCAATCCCCAGTAATACCACTCCCTAACCCAAGACAGGACATATTATAAAGTAATGCTTTAAACATGTTGTTAAAAAAAAATCCAGACAGGAGCCTGAAACGTAAGCTTAGTGGTGAACTGACTGCTAATACACAAAAGGCCCTGAGACTGATCCCACTCCCTAAATCCAAAGAGAAGTTTTATTTAAATATTGCAAAAACCTGAATGCTGTCTTCTAACTAGCCTCAAAGGTCATCAGGACCTGTCTTTTCTCCTTGATTTGGCAAGTAACTAAATCTGTAACTTGTCTAATAGAAGGCATTTTTTGAAATACATTTTGGGTATTTTTGAACCTTTCCCAAAACTTAATTTTCTAAGCCAAAGATTGTGAAAGTAATTCTTGCAGTTCTCAAAGCATGGCCCAGAAAATCCTAGCAAGTGATCTATTAACTTTTTCAGGAACTATACAAAGCTAAAACTATTTTCATAATAGATATTAACAATTCTTTACTTGCCTTTTTCAGTCTGACAATATTGGGTTACTTATTTAAAATGAACACTAGTAAAATTTCCCATTGTAATTTTTCATACAGTAAATGCCAATGACAAAATAATGTAACTAAGAAAGGGACCAAAAGATGGAAGGAAAGAGAAAAGGGTAGTAAAAAGAATTAAGACATGTTATATCCATGTACCAACACTACAGACACGTACACGGGGATTTAGCTCAGCGGCATAAGCACCTGCCTTGCAAGCAGGTGGTCATGAGTTTGATCCCCGGTACTGATAAAAATGAAAAAGACAAAAAAAAATTTTTTTTTTATATTCATGACTAAAATACAACTGAAGTATAAGAACCATGATCTAATCTGCAATACTAGCCCTTTTGGTTCAGTTTGTCCTTACTCCACTCACTGGTCTTAAAAGACAAGGTATTTTATTGTTACCTATAAAATATATTTAACACTGTTACAAAGAAGGTAAGTCTTTCAAAGAAATGAGGGCGGAATTTCCATACTGATTTTTACAGTGGTTTCACCGGTTTATATTCCCACCAACACTGGGGAAGGGTTCCTTTTTCCTTGTAGCCTCTCTGCCATTAGTTATTGGTTGCTTTCTTACATTTAGCCCTTATTTCTGGAGATGGAATCTCAGTGTTGTTTTAATTTCCATCTCTCTAACAATCAATGATGCTGAACATTTTTTTAAGTATTTCTTTGTTGTTTATATTTCTTCATCTGAGAAGTGTATATTCATCTCAGATGACTATTTTTGGATTGGGGCTTTAAATCTGGGAGTGGGTTGTCTTTTCACTCTGATGGTATTTTGTCTTGCTGTGCAAAAGCTTTTTAATAGGATGAGATCCCAGTTACTAATTTTTTATATTATTTCACGTGCAACTGAGATTTTGTTCATGATTTTGCCTATATAGATGTCTTCAAAGCTTCTATCTATTCTCTTTTCCAGCACATTTAGTGTCTGTGTTTTAATATATAGGTGCTTGATCTATTTGGATTTTAGTTTAGTGCATGAGGACAGACATTGGCCTAGTTTTGGTCTTTGGCATGTAGAAAGCCAGTTTTTGTAGAAACATTTATTAAAGAGGCTTTCCTCCAGTGAATGTGTTTGGCTCCTTTGTCAAAGATAAGGTGGCTGAGTGGGTTTGGAGTTGTTTCTGCATTTTCTAATTTGCTCCATTAATTCTTGGATCTGTTTTATTTTTTTGCTGGTACCATGCTGTTGTTATTTTAGTAGCTTTGTAGTATAATTGCAAGTCCAGGATTGAGATGCCCTTTGCCTTGCCGTTGGTGCCCAGAATTGCTTTTGCTATTTAAGGTTTTTTGGCTCAAAATAAATTTTAGAAATGTTTTCTTTAGTTCTGTGAGATATGCTAATGGTATTTTGATCTGGACTGTATTAAATCTATATAACAATTTTGAGAGTATGGTCACTTTTACTATGTTGGCCCTTACTATTCATATAAGCAAGGGTTATCTTTCCATTTTCAGATATTCACTTCAATCTCATTTTCCTTCTGAGTATCTTCCCAGAAGATTTTAAAAGCATCCTATCAAAACAATGTTATGTGTACTCAGGTTTATAGCAGCACAGTTTATAATATTTAAATCTTGCAAACAATCTAAAACAGAGGAATGCATAAAGATATATTTTTAAAAAATGTAACAGAGTACTACTGTGCCATAAAAAAGATAAATATGAGGGGCTGGGGATTCAGCTTAGCAGCCTAAGCACCTGCCTGGCAAGCAGGCAGTCGTGAGTTCAATCCCTGGTACCGATAAAAACGAAAAAGACAAAAAAAAAAAAAAAAAGATAAATATGAAAGATTTCTAGGTATATGAATGCATGTTAAGACCATATTCTTAAGTGAAATACATTACATGTATAAATATCGCATTGCCTTTCTGGTATGAGAAACTGAAACAGTAAACAAATATCAACATGTACAACAGATATTGTGAAATGGGAAGAAATTGTTCGAAAGGAAAAAAACTAGATTGGGAAACAAACTAGGGAAAAGAAGGAAGGAAAAAGGACTGAAAGAAACGGTAAAATAGAAACAAAGCATTGTAAATAGAGGGGGGAAGAGGGATTTAAGGGAAAATGGGGTTGGGAAAAAATGCGAATAAAACATATCATGTACAGGTACAAATTCCCTATGATGACTATGATCATTATATGTATATATAAAATGTACCAATAAACTTATTTTAACAAAACAAAACATGAAGGATTTTTATTTACCTGATGTTATATGGAAATAATTGCATACTGACATATCAAATTAAATAATATCTGAAAATTGAACCTACTCTTATGTATTTAATATAACAGGTAAATAATAAACTATAAAATTCAATATGCTTTACCCAACATGCTCCATGTTTCCCCTGAAATAACATGTAGCCGGTAAATAATCAGCCTTGAAAACTAGAGATCAAAAGCGCAAGCCCTAGTGAGCCTCTTTTTGTCTTACTTTCCTTACAGAGTAGCCACTAACCCAGAAAACAGTGATGCTAGGTAAGGCATGACAGGCTGACGGCGGCTGGTGTTTTTTGATCTGCAGGTCTTATTTTTGGGAGACGAGGTTATATCTGTTTATGTGCGTATATATGAGAGAATTCAATATGTCTGACTGTAATGAATTGTTTCCCATCTATAATGTAAGTATCTATTACAAACCCAGTTTCAAAAATATGAGAAGAAACCATATAATTACCATTACGATTTCAAGTGCAGGAAGAATTCCTAATTTTGCTAAAGTTTTGAAAAATGCATCTCTGTTTTGAGGTTGTAATGTCTGAGAAAATGCACAAAATTCCTTGAAAAAATTAACCTGTAATGTTAAAAAATTATAGTGAGAAGTTGAAAAACACAAAAATAAATTAGAGCACACTATTTTAGTTACTACGATCTGGGATTCACCCTTCTGAAGGATCTTGTTTTTTTCCCAATACAATGGCTCCTTAAAACCTACTTAAAAAAATATTAAGCACTAGCATTCTATTAATAGTTAAATTTGCATTATTTCTCAAAGACTGAATCTCTCTCAATACACGACAGTGCAGAAATGCTGTATAAGGCATATGCATAGAAACTGTCTTATAATGAGCTAGCTGGGTCCCCACAAAGTCCTATAAAACATGAAACAATTTTAGTAACTATAAGTGACCATCAGAAATTATACCTTAGAACAATAATTTTATAAATGAGAAAACAAATATGCTATTGATAACTACCCAAAGATGACTCCCAAGTTTTGAAGTTAGTAATCTTTCATTATTTTATAGAATATCTAAATTCTATTATGCTTGAAAAATGGTAAATATCTAGCAAAAAGCAATCTTGCTTTTTCTTACTCTATTCTTTTCTTACAAAGAGTTTATATTTTGAAAAAAACCTTATAAAAAATAAAATACAAATATTTCAAAAAAATTACTTGCCATTCAATTTGTAAAGAAGTACTTTTTTTTTTTTTTTTTTTTTACATTTCTTTGTTAGAAATAAAAACATCTCTAGTTATGTATCTATAACTGCAAAAATGTCTTTGCAGTTTTCCTTGATATAAAGCACTTATATGATTTGGGGATTTACAAGCCATTCAAATTCTCCACTAAGGGGAAAAACAAACCAAAACATTCTAAGAGTTTTCTAAATTATATAAAAACAAATTTTTAGAAATTGTGAATGGTCACTTTAGAGTTCAACTTAAACATACTTTTTATCACATACTAACTATAAACAATTCAACAAATTCAAGATTAAAGGTTATATAAGCCAAATCAATAAATCCTCTTTAAGAATCTGAATTTCAAAAATAACTTACCAATTCACGCCGTTTATCATCATCTGTAGCTTCATCTGTTAACTGTGCAAAAACTTCTGACAAAAACTTCTCATCTTCCTGTGTGAAAAGAAATTATGAAATACAAATAAGTGTTATACTACTTTACATGATTTATACACAGTACTGCAAAAACAGATGAAAACTAAACAGCATTTCATTGCAAAACCTAAAATTTCAGAGCACAGCATCTAGTTTAACTAAAAATACCACTATTAAAGAACTGTTTAGCAAACCCAAATATTTAGAGATACTTTGGCACATAATTTAATTTTGCTATCTTCTCTAGCTTTTCCAGAGTCTATTTGCTCTTTAAACACAATTCAAACAGGAAAAAGGATTTCACTGCCATTTCACAGATGATTTGAAAAACATGGCACAGGAACAGCAGTAAAGAAAGCCAAATTCTGGCAGCAAAAAAGATTAAAATGCCATGTAAAACACAACAAAATCTCATAAAAGTATAATAAGAATCTCTAGCCCACTATAGCATTCTCATATTGTTATAGTCTCCAAGAACGTAATTAGGTGACAAAATACTATAAAACTTCACTTTGTGACTCTGAGGTCTGGTATGAGTCAATTTCCTAACCACTGTTTAAAAGTACAATTAACATACAATACAATATACAGCTTTTTTTTTTAACAGTGACAATGTTTATTTGAAAAAGTAAGAGTGAAGAATGAGGAAAAAATTGTTTCTGCAAAGTGAGCAAAACCATGATAGCCTAAACTATGTGGTGGTTTGGTTTATTTTGGTTTTTGCTTTTGTCTTCCTGAGACAGGGTCTTGTGATGTAGTTCAGGCTGGCCTTGAGCTCACTAAAGGATTTTTAAATGTAAAACTATGATTGATAGTATAGGAGAACATTAAAATGTTAATTGTGGCTATCTTTTGGTGACAGATTTTAAATTTGTTTTGTTTATTTTCCAACTTTCTACAATAAAATCAGCCTATGAAATTACAAACAAAAAAACTGACATAAATATCAAAATTTGTTTTGGAAGATCTACAACCAAACCTGCTAAAAGAAAATTGTTGAATTTTTCAGTGCTTTTAAACCTTAGTTACATCTTCAAATTTTGCTTTTATGAAGTGCAATTTCCATTATTTTTAATTAGAATGGCATGTTTTAAAAATGTTCAGAGCACTATGATCTGCAGAGCTGACAGCAAAATCTAACTATAATATAAAGGATATATTTCAAATACCTATCTTTTTTCCTACTGTGGATTATCCATGAAATGATATCAATTCCTTAAGTCTTTATGAAATACGGTGGTGCACACATATGAAGAAATACACGAACGGTGCTCTCTGTGTAAAGCACAGTTCTCCCACCAAACATCAGTGGGTGTTACTCAAACACAGAACACTGATAAAAGATAAAATCTTTTTATCAGTCTGACTCGGAATGCTGTTTGTTATTTATAGCAGCAACTCTTTTTATCATTTTGATAAAGAAATTCATATTTATTTCTATTCACAGCTTTAATAATTTTTTGTCTTTCTCTGTCTCTCCCAGATTAAATCTTCATCCTTTCCTGTCTGAAGATTTTTAACTTTCTGCAGAATATTTTCATAGAATAAAGTTCTGATTCCTTGATAAATGCAATTTCCCACTTAAATTCTTCTCATATGGTTCAGCATGAGAATTATCAATAACTTGAACTGCATAAAATATTATACACAATCTCAAATATTATGTAGTTTATTGAGAGAAAGCTTTCTGATTGCTAGTATGCATGCATATATATTTTTTTGTCTGGAGATGTAGCTCACTGGCATAAGCGTTGGCCAGACAAGTGTGAGGTCATGAGTTTGATTTTCAGTTAAAAAAAAAAAAAGTATATATATATATATATATATATAAATTTCTAGCATTATTCTTGACAATAGTCTCTAAATTACAAAATTAATGTTTTAATATATATAATGCAGAGAAATAATTTATACAATGCAGAGAAAAAATGAGTGACATCTTTTAAAAGCTATCATAAGGTTAGAACATCTTTTCCTAAATCCTTACTCCCTTCCCCAAGTAATTAAGCTTTTGGTTTTCTTTTCTATTTCAGGTTTTAACAAAACGTAATTATATAAATTATATATTGTATATAATTATGTAAATTATACAGTGTGTGGCTATACTGGATCACAACAAAACATGAAGAGAGGTTGCTTGTATAAAGTATAAATCAAACACTTCTTTCAAATTTCAGGTAAACAAGCAAAACAAAAGAGAATACATTCACAATGCTTAAAATGATTTAAACACAGATATTTAGAATTAGACCAGGCTTTATGATTTTACTTAAGACACTGCCTACTCCAATTTTAAACTGAAAGAGACTGAGGTCCAAGGTGTTGACCTGTCTGAGGCTAGTGACAGAATTAGCATTCAGAATCTGGTCTTAAAGTCACTCTTCAATGTATGGGTCATTGTTGCCTCCCAACTGGCATGTTTTGAAAAAGCTGTTAATATTTTTTTCTTCTACTTTTTTTTCTTTTACCCTTGAAATAAAATGAATTTGGAAAAAAATATTTAGGATTTTCTAATTTAAAAAATGAAAATAAAAAGGTCACTCTTACCAAATAAACTTTCGAATACTTTCCTAAATTAAGAATCAACTACAGCAAAACACACACAAGCTAGAAAGGGCTGACTCTAATAAACATTTTAAACATGTTGAACCTTTTCACTAAAACAAAAAATCGCTTGAAAAGAATCATATCACAGAAAACATTTTTTTTTTTTTTTTTTTTGTCTTTTTGAGACAGGGTCTCGCTATGCAGTTCTGGATGGCCTTGAGCTCACTTTATAGCCCAGGCTGGTCTCGCACTCATAATGATCCTCCTGCCTCAGCCTCCCGAGTGCTGGGATTACAGGCGTGAGCGACCAAGCCCAGCTCACAGCAAACATTTTTTTGAGGCATTTGAAGACTGTACATATTTAATTAGTAACAAATGAAAAGTTAGAAATTTCCCTTTGTGGTCAAACCTCATCTACAAAATAGGTTTAAAAAAAAAAAAAGTAAACCACAGATTCTTCTGGGTTTGCTTTAAGCTCAACTCTTCCCTAGCACAGTGGAAATACAGTGCCTGCTATGTGTTAAAATGTTAACATTTGAGATTGAGAAATGTTCCCAAACATTTCTAGGAAAGGCAGAAATTAAAACTTCCTGTTCTTAAAAGGATCTTATTCTTTAACTGCTAATGTACAAATAATCTCATTATAGGCCCTTAGGAATTCAATTTATAAAATATGCTTGAAGTGTATTTCTAAATTTTAGGCACTGGAATTTTGAGTTGCAGCTAGCTAGAAAATTCATGTTAACTAAAATCTGATCCCCTTATCACGCTTAAGACAATCAATGCGTTATATACTATGAGCTACTAATGACATTATGTGCTTTTATATAACTTCTCAGTTAACTTATAATTTATATATGGCTTTGCACTACTAAATCTTGGTCTACTTAATACATATGTACATTTTCACTTGCCTTAGTTAACTCATGTAACAGCAGACTGATAGTCATTCAAAGGGTGATAAATATGCATACTAGATAGCCGAAAGGATATGTGAAAAATTTTATATCTAGCCAAATATTTCTATATAGAAACCTGAGGTGAGCTTCAGGAACTGAGCATTTCAAGGTCAGTAGCCACAATCTTTTACTTTTCTCATGCACTTTTCAAAATAGAATTTAATACCACTATTGGCATATATAAAAAAATTAAGTGGTAAATCTTAGATTGAAAAAAAAATTAAGTGGTAATTCATAGGACCAGAAATGAGTATGACTTTACTGGGGGTTGAACTTAGCACTTCACGTATGCTAGGCAAGGATTCTACTACTCAAGTTACAAACCCAGCCTTCCAATTTTAATTTTTTTGGTACTGTGCATCAAACTCATGACTACACACTTGCAAGGCAGGCGTTTATGCTGCTGAACTAAATCCCCAGCTCCCAACATTTTTTTTTAAAAGCTTCATTTGATTTGTTATTATAGCTTCACAAATAAATGTATTATAAAGTGCCACAAATATTTATAGAAACCCTCTAAATCAAAAGTAGTCATCTGAAAAGTAGATTTGAGATTCTGACACTAGGTTCTTCACGTGAAGAGTGTGACTCTATCTGCAATCTCCTGAAACTCTTTTTGTCAGCAAGTAAAATATGAACTGTACTGCATGGTTTAATTAAAAATAAACTCCCCCAAACAACTAGTCCTATACGTTTATAAGAAGAATGAATCTAATGTGTATGTTTAGCATCCATCATTCATTACTGGGGAATAATGAAAACGTTATTAGGTAAAAAAAATGACTTGAAAAAGTATATTCTATATAAAAAACAGTAACAGAAAGGTTAATATTGGTTAGAAGTGTCACAGAGTCTAATAGGTAAGTATTAAGTCAGAGATTTTCCTAAGATTCCTTTAGTAACTCCAAAATTTATGAAGGGCCCCTAAGAATTTTCATTATATGTATTATACTTAGTATTTATCATGATTAAAATTATACCTAAAGCATTTGAAAAAGTTTTAAATTCCATAATTCATTATGTTTATGTAAATTTTAAAATCAGAAACAAATATAGGATTCAAAATTTTAAAATGGTCCTCTTTTATATTTTTGTATCTCTTTTATATTGGCTTAAAATAGACAATTTCTGCATTTAACCTTGTTATGATACATTGTTTTGGCTCAAGTGTAAAAAAAAAAAAAGTGTCACACTAACATGAAGCTAGAAAAGGGAAAACCTAAGTGATGCCTCTGAAAGGGTTTGGGGACCTTAAGGGATCCACAGGCCATCCTCTGTGAACCACTACCCTAAGTACACACACAGTAGCTGCTCAATGAGCTCAGTAACTGATAACGAAATAACTAAGGTAGTAACATAGGACACCTAATACAGTGTAATATTATAATGTAAACTCTTCAAAAACATGCTTAATATACTATTAAGATGTGAAGGACTAACATAAAAAAGATATGAAACTTATATTTGATTTTTTTATGTTAGGATAGGGTCTTGCTATGTAGCCCAGGCTGGCCTTGAATTCACCACAATCCCCCTGCCTCAGCTTTCCAAATGCTGGGATTACATATATGCACCACCATGCCTGATAAAACCTGAATTTTGGAACTCAAGGAGACAGAATAAAATCAACTTCACATAGCCGCCAATAACCAGTTACCATCATCTAAAAATTAATGAGTGTTTCTCAACCCTAGTTGTACATCTGTGTATCTGGTAGGGCCTTTGTACTGAGCTTCAGTTCGAGCCAGCCTGCCTTCATCTACTATTTATTTTGAGACACAGTCTGAATTTCCTAGGTTGGGGTAAACTTGTAAATCCTTCCACTTCAGCCTCTCTCACTGTTGTGGATTCACAAATATGCACCACCACACCTGGGTGCAACAAGATATTTTGAAAAATAGTTGCACAGGGCTGGGGCTGTAGCTTAGTGATAAAGCAGGTGCCTAGCATATGCCAAGTACTGGTTCAATCGCAGGAGCCAAAAAAAAAACCAAACAGACCAACCAACCAACAAAAAAAATCCCCCAAAACCTAAAAACCAGAAAACACAAAACCAACAACAAAAACAAAACCAAACCCCAAGTGAAACAAACAAAAAAACTGTGTTACTGGTATCTACAACAGGCAAATCCATAGAGATGCTAAGTACAACAGTGGATACCAAGAGATGGGAGAAATGGGGAAGGAGTTATTGTTTAATTACTAGTTTTTGTTTGGGATGATGAAAAATTCTGAAAATAAGAGGTTGTGTAACATTAAATAACCTTAATGTCAACCAGCTGTACATTTACATGCTGTTAAAACTGAATTTTATCGGTAACCCACCTAAATTTTAAAAATATAAAAATTTAAAGTAACAGCTGTATCACAGAATATTTAAAAATACAAAGTCTGTGTTATAAAATTGCTTTTTCATAAAACCACAAGATATGTTTTCTCTGACAGTACATTTAAAGTAAACAAAAAGACTTTTGAACAAAATAGCTTAAACTCTTACTCAACATTGTATCTGAAAACAGAATTGCGAAGAATAGTACTTACCTGCAACATGCTGACTATCTCAACTTTGTTGAAGAAAATAAAAGATGTAAGAGTAGAAAGAAAATTCTCTTCAAAAACGGATGGGGTAGGCAAAATGATATCCTGAATATACTGTACCCTGTAAGTCTGGTGTATTTTTTGCCTTAGTTCTGAGTCTGTTATTGGTATAACTTCCTTAAATTTTGCAGTTTTGGTCAAGAATTCTCTGTGTCTTTTTGGCTGGGCCAAAGCAGGATCATATTCAAGGCATCCCACGACATCCATGATACACTCATCAGAAAACATTACCTCAAAAAGAGTTGCTTTATTTAGGAATAAGATTCCTCTAATAATTTCATACAAATGGTGTAAGCCTTCAGTGTTTTCTAAGTTCTCACAAGCTTGGAACAGCTGCAGGAGTTTTTTAATATAGCCTTCATTTTCCAAGGCCAGAGCCAGCTTTTCCCTTCGAATAGGTGAGGAGAGAACTGAGGTAACTAAATCAGCAATCTCTTCAAGTTTATTGAGTTCACACGTGGGCAGATCAATCAAATGACTGGTTTCAGGCATTTCTTCAAATCGCTCTTCTTCGGATTCATCGATGAGGTCCTGAGTGACTTCTACTGATGGATCCTTACCTTGAACCTAAAAACACCCAAGTAGAGGTGGTAATCTTAAAATGCAAAAGAATTTAATATCATGGAAATCAAATCACTGACTACTGAATTTAAGTAAAAATATCTTGCATGGAATCAATGTCAGTAATTTAGTCACTATTAACTAAAAGTGAAGTGGGAGTAGGGTTTGGATATACCTACTTTAAAATCAATTATTTGAATCTTAAATAATTGACTACAGATCATTTCCTTTTTAAATTTATTGACCTGTAACTTTAGGTTAACTCTGATGCTTGATAACATGAGTAATCTCTCCTGGTATTATGTAGATTTATAAGGTTAATCCTGTAAATAATATAGTAATAACATGCAGTTGTTTAATAGCTTCACCATACCTAACAATTGCAAATAACAGAAGGCAACTCTTCTGTTTGCCCCATCACTAAATGTGACTTAAAGTACCTATCATACCATCACATTGGCTTGATGAGGACATCATTAAATTCACACCAAACTAAAACCTCATTCTATTAAGAGTAACGGATTTCCTCCAAGTTCTTTTCAAACTAACTTTTGAAAAAGTATTTGCTTCTGTTGAAAATCTAAAACTGGTTATGAACTATTTTAAAAAGCATTTATCTCTGTAATAAAGTCCAACCTCTATTATCTACATAATTAGAACAAAATGAATGGAGAGCTGTTTATAATTCAGACTCATAACTGTTGTGGTTTGTGTCTAGCTGTCCCACCAAACCCTCCTAAAGTTTTCCATGAGGTTATTTTGGAGGTGGCTGGGCTGATTCGGAGTGTGTGATGGATTCCTAGTGCAATGCTGGGATTAAGGGTGTGACTGCTACACACAGTTTAGGGCAGGTAACCTGCAAACAACATGAGGGACAGAGAGAGGTTTGTCTTCTCTCCTCTTGATGCTTTTTTATTGTCTTTCATTGCCATGTGAATGGCTGGCCCTCTGCCACGTGCCATCTTGCCTTTGGAGCCAGCCAATTATGGAGTGAAATTTCTGCAAACTGTGAGCTAAATAAACTTTCCCTGTTTTACGTTGGATGTTGGAGTTTTGTCTGAGCAACAAGTAAGACAACAACTCAAACACAGCTAATGAATTTTCAATGAATTACTCTACTCAACAATATTTAGAACTTTATGCTTAAAAAACTTTCTAATTAAAGAATCAAGCTATATTATGTAAGAGGGACTGAAGGGAGGGGGTTGGAGAAAAAAGAATCAAGAAACTTTTTAATTCATAACACAAAAGTGCAGCTCTAGCCTCAGTTTTCTTTTCTTTATTTAGTTTTATCTTTTTGAGCCAGGGTCTTTTCTACGCAGTGCAGGCTGGCCTTGAGCTCACTTTGTAGCCCAGACTCGTCTTGAACTTGCAATGATCCTCCTGCTTCAGCCTCCCTACTGGGGTTAGAGGCATGTGCCACCACCACAGCTATCCTCAGTCTTCTGTATCTCAACAAATTCTGAGAAAAAAAGTTCCATGTTTCTTTATTCACCAAAGCAACATAAAAATTAAAACTCTAAGAGCCTGAGGGAAAAAACAGATAAACAGATGTATATGATTTACCTCTTCCTAGAGAAAACAGTACTTCTGAGTTTTCACCAGGGTTGCCTGGTTTAGGAAAACTGACATATAAATGTAAAACAAAGTTTAAGAAAATAAGTCATAGAGCATTTCGGATAAAGTGCTTTGAGAATTTACAATTCCTTCCAGTTCTCAAGGGTGTGTGTGTGTGTGTGTTGGGGGCAAGAACCATGAAGGGAGTATCACTGGATGTTGGAAATATGTGACATGCATATGACCACACAACTAGAAATGTAAAATGAAGATAGATCATGGAAAGTCAAGCTAAACAATGAGTTACAGTGGAGGCAAACATGCAAAATTTTCAGAAAGTTAAATGTGGTACTAGTTGTATGGGATAATTTGAAAGAATAAATTCTATATTTTAAAAAGCACAAATTTAGTTTATATATACTAAATTTGGAGTGGTGGTAGGACATACAGAGATTGGCATAGATGAGGAAGAGCTACGAGAGGAGAACTCACAAATGTTCCTATAATGTTAAACTTGTAATAAGGATTATGACTTCTTTTAAAAAAGCGGGGGGAGGATGACGGGAGAAGAAATGATAGTAAGAGACTAATTTTACTATGTTTGAAGTGTTTAAATATTTAGCATGGAAATAAACTGTGGGCTTACTCAGGAAAAAGAATAGAGCAGATGTGTTTCATGTTAGGGTAATAGCTAGAAGACTGTATGACAGTAACAAGAAAAAATGACAATGGAGTATGTAAGTAGGAAAGAAAAGTCAGAGGTTATAATAAAGAAATAAGTTTAGATCAGATGAACTAACTGAACTTCAAAGGAATACAGCTTGCATATGGAGTGTAGATTGGTACAACCGGGGTAACCAGTGCAGAGCTTCCTCAAAAAACTACGTTAGGAGGTTCCATTTGATCCAGCTATCCCCTTCTGGGCATTTTCCCAGAACTGAAATATCATACCATAAGGATATATGTGCAACCATGTTTATCGTAGCATAATTTGAAATATAGCTAAATCTTGCAAACAACCCAAATGTTCATCAACTGTGGAATGGATAAAAAAGATGTGGTATTTTTATTCAATGGAGTATTACTCAGCGAAAAAGAAGGATACACTCAAGGTTTTCATAGGTAAATGGATGCAACTTGAGACCACACTCATAAATGAAATAAATTAGACGTGAATGTGTAAGCACTGTATTGTCTCTTTAATGTAAAAAACTGAAAACCTGAGTAAGATCCAAAGCGTACAACACATACTGTGAAAATGAAAGGGGAAGAAACTGTTCAAAAGGAAAGAACAACTGGCATGGGGGAAAGGAGAAAGGAAAGAAGGGAGGTTATATATATATATATATCTGTTACCTCATCAAAAAGAACAGTTTGTGCTTTCACTGTTTGAACATATTTTTATGCCAATATCGTGTAATCTGAGCAATTATTTTGGACAAAATGCGATATATTGTTAATCTACAAAACTGATAATTCTGTACTTTTTGCATTTACAAAATTTTAAAAATTGATAAAAAAATAAAAGCACAGCTCCACAAAGATCAACTTGATTACGGTATGTTTATTTCTGTTATCTACTATTAATGCTCAAAATTTATTGTGTTATCTACTATTAGTTCTCAAAATTTTTCTAAACTCAACTTCGATCTGATCATGGGCATAGTAGCACACATCTGTAATCCCAGCACCTGGGAGGCTGAGGCAGAAGGATCTCAGTGAGTTTGAGGTCAGTCTGGGCTATAGTTCAAGGCCAGCCTGCACTACACAATGAGACCCACGGGGCAGGGGTGGATAGAAAGAAAAAGAAAAAAAAAAAAAGAAAGAAAGAAAGAAAAAGAAAAGAAAAATGCAAAAATAGACAGGAGTCAGTATTTTTTTTTAAAGAAAGTTGAGGCATGGTGGCACATTCCTATAATCCCAGCACTTGGGAGGCTGAGGCAGGAAGACTGCTGTGAATTTAAGGCTAGCCTCGGCTACAAAGTAAGTTCAAGGCCAGTCTGAACAGCAGAGTGAAAACTTGTCTTGAAAAGACAAACCAAACTATCAAGATCTGTCAATCCCACACAACCCCAAATATCTATATAAATACCGTCAGTGATTGCCACACACTAAGTATCTCCAATTTTCTCCCATTGGAGGCATGGGTTTTTTGCTTTTGTGAAGTTACTTATAGGCGTGTAATTTGCATTATTTAATAAAATGTACACCAAGAGAGTCATGTATAACTTGTGGGCAGAACTTTTAAAAGAAAGAACGCTGATATGCTATCTTTCCTTCTTACTGCATCAAAATGAATTCTTCATCAGCATAGTCCTTGAGTAGCTCTCAAAAGCAGTTCTTTCCCTTCTAACTCTACCCTCACTGGTTAAAAACGGCAAAGCCAACTCAATCCAGAGTTAAATTAATCTTACTGGACTGGTAGACTAGCCAAACTTAACATCCTATTCAAAGGTACTGAAGTTTGCATTAAAAAAAATCAATGACAGGACTGGTAGTGTAGTTCAAGTGTAGAGCACTGGCTAAGGGGACAGAAGGGCAGGGAGAGACAAACGCAGAAGACAGAAAGTAACAGAGTTAAGTACTGAATAAGGGAAAATGCTATGAACGAAATGTAATATTAATAACCGTACATCAAGAAAAACAAAGAACAAGAGATGCTATTACGTCCTAGCTCAGTAATAGCAGATGCCTAGAAAAATGCAAACATGTTTGCCAAGACCACCTTTGCCCTCAGAACTTGGTAAGGGCAAAAGGGAGTTTATAACCTCTACTTTGGAGACCTTTTCTCTTATAACATGATGATGAACTTGATTGTTAATGATCAAGTGTGAGTGTAGTAATGTGTGCCAGGACTTACTGACTTTCACTATCCAGGTTACACCTACTATCATGTTCTATTACTGACCTACAACTAGAAGTTCATGACTTAAAAGCTCCTGAACCCTGCCCCTTACGCCCTTTCTTTTTAGATGATTTTAATCTGTATCAATTCACTATAATAAATTATACCAGGAATGTTATCTTTGAATCTAATGAACTACTGGACTAGCAAAGTAATCCTTGAACCTCATGAACACTAAATTTGAGAGTGATACAAAGGATTTCCCAAACCAAGTAGAAACAGTACAAGATAAAGTTCAGCAAAAATTGCTAGGACAAATTTATGATGCATTCAAGAATAAATTATATCTAAACCACATGAATAAACAAAACACTGAGGTTGGGGACACGATATAGTATGTTGATTATTGGAAAATGTTATCTACCATATAAATGTAAGTTTTAACAAATATATAAATTAACCTCTTAGTTCTTCTGCATTATTCATTACTTTTTTAAACATGCTGAGTACATGAAAATGCTAGTTACCATGCTGGCATCAGGGAAAGGAGGAAGAATACAAAATAGAACACCCTTTTTGAACTTATAATTAAAAAAGAGTACCC